GAATGTCCGAGTTAAAATTGTGTGTGAGTGGACGCTCGCGCAACAGAACGCCGTTGTATCGGCTGCCTGCTGCAGTCCGTAACTTATGTTCAAAATGAACGAGTAGGCTACATCATGTATCCATTTTCCAAACCATGTTTTTGACTTATCCTGAATCACTACGGTACGCCTATAATAAGTGTTTATATTCAGACTATTTTATCCCGGGTCTCAGATGAGGACTTTCCCAGTGCCTGCGTGACTCACCATAGACATTATTGGAGAGAAAATAATAAAAAAAAATATTTTTTTTTTATTAAAAAGCATAATATTAAAACAATTATACATTAAGCAAATTTAAATTTAGAAATAAATTAATTTGAAAAGGCGTTTTTGTTTTTTGACCAAGTGCATCCAGAATTTACATTTCGGTGCTTATATTTCATATTATAAAGTTGTATACATAATATAAATGTGTTTTATTGCATATATATATATATATATATATATATATATTTCTAACCTTGTTCAATAAGGGTCACAGACTTTTGGAGCCCATTCTGGATTTAAGTCTACTTCATATCTGCATTCAGTGGCAGCAATAATGGGTGATTAAGTTGAGGAATTTCCCATTAATGGTGGGATAAAAGAGCCTTCAATTTGCCTCCATATGAGCCTAATTAGAGTTTGTGAAAAGCTTTAACTCCTCGTGTAAAACGTCAGTCGACTTCACACCAGCGTTAGTTCATGAGCAGAGAAAGTGACTTTTCCCATGAGGATTATAAAATAAAATCAGCAATCACACAATAAAAGACTAAATTAAGTTTACTTCCACAAATCTCTGATATTGTGAAGTATAGTCTAATATATTTTGTATGTTTCATATGTTCTAGTATGTTTTCCATAGTACGCACAGTTTCCCAGCTGGTGTACACTCCTGCTCATCACTGCGTTGTTTCTCATCTTCAGGAGACACCTGTGGCTACTTCCCCCACAGCTGCAGCCGATGATGGTTTAGGTCTGCTTTGTTGACCCAAAGGAAATGATTAATTGCCCATTGGATGTGCAATATATTAGAGATCACGAGAACCTCAAGGTCCTTTTTTTAACCTGTCTGGTGTGTCTGCACATGTTTTATTAGGACTTTTTTCTTTGATCTGATAAAACTGCTGTGTACCACCCTTCCTGCAGTGGTGTAATGTCCTTAGACAACATTTTATTATTAATATTATTATTGTTATTATCTTTCTGGTACATTGTGTGCAGATGTTTGAAACAGCCCTCCACCTTTATTCTCTCAGTATGCAGACCCTGAAATCACACCCTCTCAGTCTCAAAAATCTTTGTGACAAAGATGAGATGTCATCAAGTATAAGTTCAAAGAGTCCCCCACGGGGCCTGACCCTTTCCTCATCATGTGCACCCTTGCTTCAGTCATGCCTTTGAGCTCCAGCAATGCTCCAGCGAGCACTATGAGGCAGTGCTCAAGTGCGCTTTGTCTGTCTTTCTGAAGTGCGTTGGCTACGTGAAGGGGCTTTTTTGTTTCCCTCTCAGCCGGCTTCTGGCTTGATTCTTCACTGCTTTGCCAACAGATTTGGTTCGTCTTGTTTTGCGAGGATGCTGGGGAGACTTCAGAGGTGAGACATCAATGATGGCACTGTTCGCCTCAGTGCCAGACCGGTCGACTTGCATGCACAACTTGCGTGCGAACGCTTTAAAGCATTGCTTTGTTTGGGTATTAGGTTTTAAAAGTCGTCCTGCTGTTGTCGGATCCATGGCGTAGCTGTGTCAAATGTGGATGCCTTGGATTGTTCCCGGGTTCAAAGCAGGACCTGATCAGGAAATGGCCCTATTTGGTCACAATGTTGTGTACTACTACAATTGTTCCCAGCCTTTGTTTCAATGCACCTGAACTGCAATGAATTACAGTATGATCAAGAGTCAAATAAAATAAACTTGGGGTTTGAATTTGAAAACATCTGGATTAGGACTGAGATCGTCATCCGATTGCCAAAAATAGTGTTGAATTTGAAAGGAACATAAGAAATATGGACAACTATTGAACTGTTGCTGGAAAATTCGTTTTGACTCACTGTTGTGCTGTCTGAATTTGTGCTTGGGAATATTGTCTTATTTTCATGAGCATGACTGTCATCATCACTCTTTTGCAAGAGCTTGTGCAGTGATTCCAGCACTGTTTTTTTTTCTTTCTTTTTTTTTCTTTTTTTTCTTTTGTTGTTTCTGGACACTCACTTAAAGGGTCAATTTATCCAAATTTTTAGATTTCTGTTATTTACTCACCCTCATCTAAACCAATTTGACTTTTTTTCTTATGTATAACACAAACGAAGATGTTTTGAAGTATGTTTATTGGTTTTTGCCCATACAATGAAAGTCAGTGGGGTCCAAAACAACATTGTCTATATTGTATAGACATAAACACAGGGATTTTTCTAAATATTTTGTTTTCTGCAGAAGTTGTCATGCAGGTTTGGAACAACATGAGGGTGATTTAAATGACAAAAATTTCATTTTAGACTGAACCTAGAGTGAACCTAGTTTATGTATATCTGTGCTTGTGCTATATCTGTGTTGCACAGTTCTCTGAGGGTTTTTGTTGTACTCTTTTGTGTAATTTTTGGATGATAGCTAGCTATACTTTGATTCACCTTTGAGTCATTGTAAGCTTTTTTTTAAAGCTTTTTTTTTTTTCCTTGTGTGCAGGGGGCTCCTTAAAGTCAGCAAGTTCATTTTTATGCCCTCAGAGAATGCTGCAAGGAATGAGTCTTTTTGTCATTGCTTTAAACCAGTCCCTGCTTTAGCTGTAGTTAAACTTTTTGATGCAATCTCTCGGATCTATTTACTTAACACACAGTTGTCCCTAGTTTTTTGCGGATTTGTTTGGAGAGCAAATTCTTTGCTAAAGCAAACATTGGTCCCCCCCATGGCCCTGCTTGAAAGATGGTGTCATTTTCTTCGTACTAAATAAATGTCTTTCCATGCCATTTCCATTGGCCCCTGGTTACAGACTCTCCCAAACACCCATAGCTTGCTCAGACATGCAAAAATATGTTTTTACACGCTCAATATAATAGCTGGAGGAACTCACAAAGCTGCTGAAATCCAGACTAGCACAAAAAAAGTAAGCTGCTTGTAAAAAAAAAAAAAGCATGTGATTATGCTCTTGTCTTGTCATTTTACGAGACCAGGTTTGATTGCATGTTATGTGTTAAAAAGTGGAAAGAAGAATTTTAAGCCAGTTGACGATGAAATGATTCCAATCATGGCAGAGAGATGATTGCCAACAATAAAGAAAAGTGAAAAAATTGTTCAATTTTGAGTGAACTTGCACTTATAATAAGCACATAATATATAAAAACAAGTTTCACTCTAGGTTGACCCTAAAATGATTTAGACAATATACAATATAGACAATGTTGTTTTGGACCCCACTGACTTTATGTATGTCATTTTAACAAGATGTTTACAATTAATGATAAGCACCAAATAAGCATATTAGAATGATTTCTGAAGGATCAAGTGATGCTAAAATACTGCAATTTATTGTTTAAAATAATAACAGTTAAAATTGTGTCAAATGGAAAACTGTTATTTTAAATTGTAATAATATTTAACAACATTTTAAAGTCTTACTGAGCGTTAGTGTATGAGCTGTAGCCATAATTTTTTCTTTACATTTTGAATGTGTGTTTTATTTTATTTTTTCTATATATATATATATATATATATATATATATATATATATATATATATAAGGTAAAAGTATTTTTTTTTTATTAGAAATTATTAATTCATTCATACTTATTACATTTTGGGGGGAGTTACACCATCTGACAACCTAAACTAACCAAAAATAAATAAATACCAAGATACATATAAAATTTTTTATTATTTTTATTCATTTTATTTTTATTTTATTATTTATTCTGTTGTATCTTTGAATAAATAATGCAACAACAAATATTTGTAAACACAATCATTTGAAAACGAGGGTGTCCCTCTGAATTTCTAAAGTGGTTATGACCATTATCATCTTGCTGCAGTTAGAGGGGGGGAAATGAGCAGAACAATAGAAATTTGAGGACAAGGATTTGCCGATCTTATCAGACAGGAAGGAGCGCTGAGGTATTTTGAGTGAAGCAAGGTTATGTTTGCATGGCATAATGCCAGTGGTGTGCAATATCAGGCTTGTCTGCTTAACCTTGATGCAATTTTCTGTGCAATCTCTCAGCGATGTGTGTATGTTTGACACCTGCAGTGCTGATTTAGTGTCTTATCCCGTCCTTGAAGCCAGCTCTATCTCTTTGTAGGCCGCACCAAAGCACAGATTGTTTAGTAAAGGGAGTGAATCCATCCAGTCATCTTCCAGCTTTATCTAAACCCCGTTCTACCTTTACCTTGAGGACACTACTGCCAGCCTATCTGTGTGAAATCACACCATTCTTGCATTCTTTGTACATTATAGAACATGTCTCACTGATCTCCTCTTCTATGTTTATCTAAATATATGATCAGATGCGCTGAGGATACGCAACATGTTTATCTGTGACTTTCCCATGCAATGCATGCTGATTCAGATTCTGCACCCCAGCTATTTTAAGTTGGTTGGGTTTTCCATTTGAATATTAGGACTTTCTACTACGTTAATGATCCATCCATTTCAGTTTCAGTGCTTTATGGAGTTACATTTCAGCCCGTTCTCATCCTTTAACGTCATATAGAACGCTATATGCAAAAACGGTGCTATACTACGCACATGGCACCCTATATCATTAATATAACACGCGAACCCAAGACACCCTACCCCACACCTAAACTTAGCCCTCACAGCGCGTGTTATATTAACAATAACGGGTGCCATGTGCGTAGTATAGCGCCGTTTTTGCAAATAGCGTTGTATATGACGTTAAAGGATGATAATGCGTTGTACATTTTATGTGTTTAATGAAACAAAAGGAATGGATATTCATTGCTTCATATTGACTTCTCTCTTCTTCCAGGCAAGGCTTTCGACATCACCTATGTGCGTCTGAAGTTCCACACCAGCCGTCCTGAGAGCTTTGCCATCTACAAGCGCACCAGTGAGGACGGGCCATGGGTTCCCTACCAGTACTACAGCGGCTCCTGCGAGAAGACCTACAGCAAGACCAACCGCGGCTTTATCCGCACGAGCGAAGACGAGCAGCAGGCTCTGTGCACAGATGAGTTCAGCGACATCTCACCCCTCACCGGAGGAAACGTGGCCTTTTCCACGCTCGAGGGCCGACCCAGCGCATATAACTTCGACAACAGCCCTGTACTGCAGGTAAAAGGGTCTTCTATCTCTCGTTTTGTGATCTCTCCCTTGATCGCTCGCTGCTCTTTGATCGCCCTAACTCGCTTATGAAGTCAAAAGCGATCACATCATTCGCAGTCTCAGACATAACAAAGTTATTGGTGGGAATTGAAATCTCAGTTTCCAGATGTGCGGTTTTGCAGTCATGTGTGATTGCAGCCAAGTTACTTCTCCAAGATTTCAGATTGAGCAACTCTCTGCAGCCTAAAACAAACAACATGTATGAGAGATATTGGTATTTGCTAAATATAATGATAAAATAATACTTTCCATTTACCATATTTTCTGGGAAATAAGTTGTACCAAGTAATTGTAGAAATATCAAGTAATAGTAAAATTGTCACATTGAGTACATTTTAGAAGTTTTAATTAAAATAATTACCATTTGGATCACATTTGGAATTGAATAGTAATTATTTTGTTAACAATTTATTAATTTAATGCATGTTTTTTTTTTTTTTTTTTTAAAGAAGTCTGTTATGCTTACTTAAACTATTTGTTTGATGATTTGCAGAAAAAAACACTAAAAAACACTAAATAAATTCAATGCATCCTTGCTTAATAAATAATAATAATAAAAAACTCTTAATGACCCCAAACTTTGTAGTATGCTTTTATCTGGTCCTTTTTATTTTTATTTCTAATTATTTCTTATTTTTATTATACTTTTTTTTTTTTTTCAGTGGTTGAGTAGTTTCCACCATCATTTTGTGTTTTATTAAATCATCCATTTTATTGTTAAGTAGGTTCTCAACATGTTTCAGCCCGTTGCACGCCACAGAACTACTGTTAGGCAGAAATACTACTGTCTGTTACATTTTTTTTTCATTTCACCAGAACTTGATATACTTCCAGAGACCACAACCACACAAAAAGCATTTTTCAGACTAATTATCTGAATAAGAGACAGACGTTCAGAGCTGAGTCAGTCCTTGCATTTGCTGACTATGGAATTTGTTGTTATGCAGGGAAAACAGAGCTAAAACAAGATGCTGCCGATGCTGCAGGTTAACTGTGTGAGATATGAGCAGGATTGGGTGGACAGCCGATAATGTATGGCTGGATGCATGTATGGAAGCTGTCAGGCAGTCTGGTTGGTGTGTGAACACAGTGTTCGTGAGACCCGTGGTGGTGTGATGTCCAGGTGGTGCGTCGTCTCCTGCTCGCTCAGCACAGCCAGCAGTTGCAACATGTTACAAGTGACGCCCCCAGATTTCCCACCCCGTTCCGCTTGTGCTTGGCAGCACATAGACACAGCTGGAAAAGAGAATGTGTGCATGTGTTGGTGTGTGTACATGCAAGAGCTGGAACACTGGGATCTGATTTGGGTTGATTTGTGTCTTTTTGAAGCATTGGTATCATTTTCATTTCACCGTGTACTTTCATATGTTAAACATCCAAGTCAGTCTACATCGTTTCTACTTCACAAAAGAGAATCTAAAATAGATAGTATATTATATTCTTGTAGGAAGATGCCTTAGGTCAGAATGTTTCTAGTTATGATGTATTATTTCACTTATTTTTTAAGCTCTTCTTGAGTGTAATGAATGCGAATGCATCATTGGCTACTTGATTAGTATTCACATATCACTTACAGTAAATGGTTGTCAAAATATAATTATGCGTCATCAAATAAGTGCTTTGTGTGGTCATGTATTGTAATTTTATTTTTTAGTAATAAAAATTGTTTTTCAAATGTAATGTTAACCAAATGTACAATTTTAGCCCTGTCGCCACATGCATCTCATGTGGCGTAAAACTATTAATATCAAAGCCCCGAACTCTTTTTATAGGAATGGATCTGTTTATGTGGCTGTCATGCCTGCTCCAATATAGAAGCGTGTGATGAGGGAAGGTTTGTTTTTGGACATTTGGAAATGATCAGCAACATCAACTGTCATTACCATTAGTTGATAATTAGGTGTTACTTTTTATGTTTTCAAGTAGTTGGTGGTAAGCGCCTTCAAGTGGGTTTATCAACCTCCCATTTAAAAGGAAACAAAGCTCAAATGTTTGTGCGTAAAGCCTGAGAACCAATGAAGTTTGTTCTAGCGCTTCACACACACATTCAAGCTTCCGTGTTTAGCACATTTAATGTGAACTTTTGTAACGAGTCAGTCAATCGAAAAGTCATTTATTTACTGTTTATTTGTATCTCCCGTCAGACTATCTTATGACTACAGATGTCGTTGCCATAATGCGTTGCTTTGGGTTGCGTCTTGCTTCATACTTGACTGACAGACAAGCTTCCTGCTTTGTAACCTCATCTCTGCTTTTTTTTCTTTTTGTTGCATATAAATTACAAGAAGCTATTATCAAGACCCAAATTCATAATTGTGATCACACAGATTGTTTACAATGTGTAAGATAGAAATATATCTGGAAAAGCTGTCAGAATGACATAAGGACATTTCCTCCTCCGTTCCAGCAGAGGACTGAAGATGTTCAGCATTGTTACAGGGTTGCCTGGCTCCACTTTAAACCCCTGTGCTATTCTGTCAGTCCACTTGTAAAATAAGAACTTGCATGGATTATAACAAAGCTGGAGGTAATGCTTGCAAAGCTTTCAGGAAAGGACTAATGTCTTGGTCTGAGTCATGTTTTCTTTGGTTTCTGAGATTGACACTCCCAACATGTGGCCAAAGCAGGCAAAGTTCAACTGCAAGTAATGTACAACATCATTATATGGCATTTACATGTTAAACGTCACACTGGTGTTTTTCTTTTCCCATGAAGCCTTTCTGAATACATTACAGTGCCTCAACGCGACTCCAGCAGGTTTGGTTTAGATTAGATGCCTGAGGATTTATTTTCTTTAAACATCTGCACACAGAACAGATGGGAAGAATCGTTCCCTGCTAAAATCTCTCCAATATCTGTTCCAGAAGAAATGGAAACGAAAATCGTTGCATGCTCATCTATGACTGACCTTTCTCTATCTACATTCTTGTTTTTGTTTTCCCATGTTTAAAAAAATGCCTAATTTGTAACACAACTGTTTTTTGTTTTTTTTTCTCTCCATCAGGATTGGGTGACTGCCACAGACATCAGAGTGAGCCTGAACAGATTAAACACTTTCGGAGATGAAGTTTTCAATGATCCCAAAGTTCTCAAATCCTACTACTACGCTATCTCAGACTTTGCTGTAGGAGGAAGGTACGTTTTTTTTAGTTTCAACATCTGCTCTCTGAATGTACGTTTAAATCAGCATCTCTTGCTTTTCTGGACGTGGTTCTTTGTGTTGCTTCACTATCCAATAAATATGTCAATATACAGTTTAATGAGACATTCACATATCTGGCTTGTATTCAGACCAAAGATGTCAACAGCTCCATCTCTAATGCTGCACACGTGACCTGAAAGATGATATGAGGTTTTTTTAAGTGTGCAAACAAAAGAAATGAACCAACGCTCTGAAAGATTAGATCGTTGCAGTGTGAGTTTCACACTTTCAGAGAAATGGGTTGGTTTGGGATGTAGTTTCTTTTTTTTCTTCTTTTTTTTAACTTTGTTGGGAAAATTCACTCTCTGTAGGAACATTTTCTGGACTCAAATGGGTCAAAAATGGCACAAAACCATTTTGTTCAATTGTGTATGTATAAAAGGACGAAAAGGAATTGCTGTGCGGTTATCTGAACTATAGGTACAACAGTGAAAGTATTACCTCTTTATTTCCTGTCTGTGGAATCTGTGAACTATGACCGTAAGCTTTTAAGATGAAGGACATGCAGAAGAAGCCCTTATACGGGATCAGAGCATTGTAAAGTAAGTGTGAAACATCCCCTGGTGCTCCATTGCATGTCTTTTCACCTTAATCTGTTTGAAATGTGGAGCAGATTTCCATTACACAGCCCACATTCCCTACATTCCTGCCTGGGAGTGCTGGATTACAGAGCACAGAGGAACTGGAATGGGGCGGGCAGAAAGTCTGGAAAGGGTCGAGGCCGAGGGGAATAATTTACACCTGCTGCCTCACGGCCTCAGTGCTCTTGTCCAGCGGACATCAGCGCCTAAGTGGCAGTCAGATCTTCCTCATGTGATCTGATAACCAGAAACGTAGCATCTTTGGAGGTTTAATACATCCCTGATAAGTTTATATTAGGGAAGAATGCATGTCCGATGAGTGCATTTCCTCCACCAAGTTATTATTCCTCACATCACCTTTTCCATAAGGCTTTGCCAAAGAATCAATGTGTGCGAGCCGAGGTGGCTTCAGCTGCACAAGCCCTCTCTTGTTCTGAGGCCTCTGTCAAAGTGTCTCTGTCATGAACATGCAGCAGTGAGCATATTCACCTACAAAGGGAGACAAATAAGGGTAACACTTTATTTTACGGTATCTGTGATACAAATTAATTAATTACTTAGCTACATGTTATTTACATTTTATTACATGTTATTACAACGTCTACTACTAAGTTATGGAACAGCCTGTACTTACAAATTGTACTTACACTCATGTATTAGGCAACTACTGTTACATATGTTACTGGCCGAGTCGCCAATAGATTTTACCGACTTGGTACAATGTAATTATATAAAAAAGTACTTTGTACTAATGTAACAAGTATTTAAATATGTTACTATGGGAAAAAAAGCCTGCAGTTACACATGGTAATTTTGTACCTTCTAAAATAGTGTATCAATATTGTACTTAAGTGTACTTCATGTGTATAAGGTATGTAGATACACATGAAGTACACTTAAGTACAATCTTGATGCACTTTATTTTACGTAGCTTATCCCTGTGTAATATTATGTAATTGCAATGTAATTAGGAAGCTACCGCATGCATTTATGCTGTGAACGAGGGAGTTAGACCTAATTCAGAGAAAAGTATGTATGGATAAGGTTTGTAGATACACGTCATTTAAATCTTGATTCACTTTATTTTACGTAGCTTATTATACATGTGTAATATTTTGTAAATTGAATGTAATTAAGAAGCTACTGCATGTATTTAAGCTGTAAACTAGAGGGTTAATTCAGATGGATAAGGTGTTTAGATTTACATGAAGTGCACTTAAGTACAACCTTGATGCACTTTATTTTAGAAGGTACAAAATGACCATTTGTAACTGCAGGCTTTTTACCTTTGTAACATATTTAAGTACTTGTTGCATGTATGTAACTGACTCGGCCTGTTACATCTGTAACAGTAGTTGCCTAATACATGAGTGTAATTACAATCTGTAAGTACAGGCTTTTCCATGACTTAGTTGCATGTTAATTACATTTTGCTACATGTTATAACAATGTCTACTACTAAGTAATTAAGTAATTGCACTGTATCACAGACACCGTAAAATAAAGTGTTACCCAAAGGGTCCTCTTATGTGGCCAAACTGTGGCCCTGAATGGATGTTCAATTGATTTTGATAATCTGGCAATAGAGCTTTAAAACTTTTTTTAAACAGTTGAAAATGCTGTTGTTACTTTGTGTAGCTTTCTGTCCTGTTTGCAAATTTAAAATTATCTAAACAATTGGAATATCATCATGCAAATAAAAGCAAAGTTTCCATCAGTGTGTTAAAGTGAACAAAATTGTCACTACCCACAAAAAAAAAAAAAAAAAAATCTGTGAAAAAAAGAAGTCGAAAATGAAGCCTCTGACACTTATCAAATGTTCAATATTTTATTAAATGGTGTTATATATTTTATTTGTTTGATGCACATATTGTAATTTATGCTGTAAATATTTTTCCATTGTAGTTTGTCTTAACGGATAATATTTTTTTTTTCTGAAGCAGTCTTAGTCTATGTATTTACAATTGTCAGTAAAGAATTAAAATTTCAGTCTGTTCCTCACACAAAACTATTGTCTGAATTCAGAAGACTGGAAATATAGTCATGTGGACTGCGTTTAAGATGCTTTTATTCCTTCTGTTTTGGCATTGCATATAAAAATGAAATGCATTTCCAGCTTAATATGCTTTAATATGCAATATTCACTGCTGGTTAAAAGACTGGGATGAAAAACAGTCTGCATACCGTACTTAGTAGTACTGTACTACTGCATAGTCTTCTATCAAAGGACAGGCAGGATAAAAACACAGACATCAGCCACTCAATCTGACAACAAAGGTGCAGTGACGTTTCAGTGTTAGGCTCAACAAACATCGTCAGAGCTCTGTGTTTGAACAGCTTTGCGGCACGTTTGTGCCTGCTTGGTTTTGTTCCGCACAACAGCAGCAGGATGTGTACACATATAGTAAGTGTGCCCTATCATTGTGTTGGTCCCTTTGCACCTGACCGGTCTGTTACCTTCCTCGTCCCCACCCAGGTGCAAGTGTAATGGCCATGCCAGCGAGTGCGTAAAGAACGAGCGCAGGAAGCTGGTTTGTAACTGCAAACACAACACAGAGGGAGCAGACTGCGGCAAGTGCAAGCCCTTCTACAATGACCGTCCCTGGAGAAGAGCCACCGCTGAAAGCCCCAACGAGTGTCTGCGTAAGTTTTCCTTGTTTGGTCGAATCTTCCTTAAAAAAACACACCAAAAAAACAGATTTCTGTTCCAATGGTTTTTCCTCGTATAAAGGAATAGTTAATCTAACAATTAAAATGTGATTGTTTACTCACAATCATATCATTCCAAACCTGTATAAAGTAAAAATGACCTTTTTATACCGCCACACTTTAACCAATATAAAAATATCATAACCTATAGTAAGAGTTTTTTTAAAGAAATTATTACTTTTATTCAGCAAGGGTGCATTAAATTCATAAATGCTGTGCTTTTAGAATTTGTGTTCAATAAAAACTATTTATCAAATATATGAAATATTTAGCAGCACAACTGTTTTAACTGTGATTTTAATAAGAAATATTTCTTAAGCACCAAATCGGCATATAAGAATGATTTCTGAAGGATCATGTGACACTGAAGACTGGAGTAATGATGATGATAAATCCAGCTTTGTCATCACAGGAACAAATTACATTTTTAACTATTTTCATACAGAAAACTATTTTAAATCATTATAATATTTTATCATATTCTTGTTAAGTGTATTTTATCAAATAAATAAAGGTATTGGCGAGCATAAGAAACTTCTTTCAAAACGGACATATACAGATATGTTTTAGTGCACATAATAATTAATATTTGTTAAAATGTTGTTCACTGCTTATGCTATCTGCTAATTCACTGCTACCAGAGATTTAAAATGCATTTAGGTGATGTCATGTCACACAAAATTAACCCTGGCTAGTCACGGGACTGATTCCCCAAATTTGAAAAACATACATAAATGAGAATACAAATTAGATTTTGTTCCTTCAGAAGACTTGAAAAATAGCGTACAAGTTATATAGAACACTTTTAAGATATTTTATGGTGTTTTGTGTTTTTTTTTTACCTTTTGGAAGCTAGCAGTATAATCATCTTTCCATGTAAAATAAATCTATTTTCCAAGTATGGAAAAAGAGCCCAGAAATCCTGCCTAAGATCATTTCTACTTCTTTTTCTGTAATGTGTAGGAAGATACAAAATCCCACCTGTTTGATTTCCTCTATCATGAGGACATGCAGAACTACAGTCTTTCCTCACAGAGTAACCTCCTCCATGAGTCATTTTTGTTTTCTTTAAACCGGAGTCATATTGTGTGTGGAAGGGGTTTCTGCTGTCCTCCATTCGCTCATCTGGACACATGTATACACACATTTATTAGAAATGCATGACTAATGTGGACATCTGATGTACAGCAGCCTGAGGCCCAGTGTTCTCACACCCACACAGCTCCTGCTCCTCCATCATCTTCTTTCCTCTAAGTGTGTATTGTGTCCACCAAGTACGCAGGCAGAAATCCTGATGATTGCCAAACCGCATCTGCGTAGTTTAGACTAGTTCCTCTGTTATCACCCCAGATTTTTCCTGCATTTATCTTATGTGCAAATGTGAGTGTCTGCATAATAGGCACATTAATGCCGCCCCTGGGAGTTTTTACATTGAATTTCTTATTTGAGATTGTCTTTGTTTCAGCATGTAATTGTAACGGAAAGAGCGCGGAATGTTACTTCGACCCCGAGCTGTATCGTGCCACTGGACATGGAGGTCACTGCCGCAACTGTGCCGACAATACAGATGGACCAAACTGTGAGCGATGCTTGGACAACTACTACAGAGATCCTTCTGGCCAGCGCTGTCTTTCCTGCAGCTGCAACCCTATCGGTGAGTAACAGTCATACTGCAGGACCAAGGTGGAAGATGCATAAAAAGCCAAGCATATTTTATTTTTTTAAATTCTTTTGTTGTGTTTACAATCACAAACAATATCACAAAACTCAAAAAACTGACCTAAATACTACACTGAACATACAAATTCAACAAAGACAAATGTATAATACATGTGATTTTTTTGGTGTAAAGTTTGAAGGCCTTTTGTTTGTAAGCATTACCATTTATTTTATTGGTTCTTCATTTCCAGGTTCTCTCAGTACTCAGTGTGACAACACTGGCAGGTGTAGCTGTAAGCCGGGAGTGATGGGAGATAAGTGTGACAGATGCCAGCCTGGGTACCACACACTGACTGAGGCAGGCTGCAGGTAAAGTGCTTTAACTCATCCACCCTGCCACGCGGGGCTCAATTTTTACTGTGATGGCCATAAATATTTTTGACCAGCGATGAAATCGTTTTTGCAAAAACAGGCTGCAATGGCACCAACGTTTTAGATACCAGTGAAAACTTTCTATTCCAATTCGATACCACATTTAAAACTACTGAGCTAACCAATATAAATTTAAAACATTATTAAGGACAATAAATAATTATAATAATTATATAAAATAATAATAACCAAATTCAATGCAATGGCACAAAAAAATACAGAAGTTGAACAAAAATGCATTTGAAATGAATAGTGATTTTCCAGTTTGTATAACAGTAGGTGTATTGAAATTGAATAAAGTAATCAAATGGAAAATGACATGTCATAGTCTTCACTGTATAAATTAAATATGTATTAATCTGATAAAGTTATCAGTCAAGAGCTGGGTGGGGGTTTTTTTCTTTCTTTTTTTTTTCTTTTTTTTGAACACAGACAGCAGCAGGAATATTAGGCCGCTGTCACTTTAAAACAATGCATGAATCCAATATATGACACTGTACACATGTAACCAACTATGTTTACTTGGATACTTGCGATATGGCATTTTTTTTTTACCTAATTTTCTGTGAATTTGTTCATTCAAGTGCAATAAAATGTTAAAAAGCTCAATTCAACATTCGCGCATTGTCTGAGACGCGACTTTCTGGATCGGAGCTTCGGACGTTTGTGCACAGAAAACTTAACATTTACGCACACGAGTAATGAACTGAGATCCCTTTCTCGTCTGCATTCGTGACGATGCAACACTGGCCGATAAACTGTCCCGAGTGTCATTCACGTTAATTTTCTCGAAACATTGCATTGTTGGGGCCATTCACACAGAAAGCGTTTTTGCTTTGAAAAACTCGAAACGCGGGAAGTGTAATGGAGAAAAAAAAATGCAAGGTCTCGAATTTATGCGTTTTACGTTTAACTTTTAATTTGACCAGCGTGTTTTTAGAACGCAGTATTATGCGCGAGACACTACAAATGACGCGAACGCAGTGGACATACACGTCCATCTGGCATGTGTTTCCATTGAAAAATAATAACAAAGTGGAATGTAAAATACATTCTGTGTGAACGACCCCTTAGGATTCATAATAATGCTAGCGGACAACTGCTATCAGCCAGTTTTTTCATAAAAATGCTACCGGACAATATTTCATGTACTTTTCCGGCAATTTTTACTGTCATTTGGCGCTTGGCAAGTGTCCATTTTAGGCCCTGCTGGCATGGCTTTAACCACCAACCAGAAGCTGTCATTCTTATCTGGAAGGTTATATTAGAATGTAGACTCAACAATCAGTCTCTTTAAAGTTGATTCCTTCTCCTTGCTCCCTCTTTTCCCTCTACAGACCCTGCTCTTGTAATCCGTCTGGAAGCACTCAGGAGTGTGATGTCCAGACTGGACGCTGCCAGTGCAAGGAAAATGTGGATGGATTCAACTGTGACAGGTCAGACTCTTTACTTAACAAAACATCCAAGCACATGTTCACCCACACGCACAATGACACAATTGCAACTGTTGTGGCTTTTAAAAAAAACCCTGTGCTGTCCATGCATTGTCCATACTTGATTTGTTCACAAGGAAAAAGTTATAATTACTAGGTTTGTTTAATATGTTCTCAAATTAGAAGGTAGTCATCAACAGAATTAACTCTAACATCAACACTTCAGAAGCCCCATAAAGATGGTCCACCTTTCAGCTCCTGCTCTGTTACGAGGATGTCTGTCAAAGCTTTTATAAACCGAAGTTTAAAAGGGCTGTCTGACGTCTACACTCTTTTCTTATGGAAAGTCCCTGTGTGGGTGACACACAGAGGATATGAGGCCATGTATGTGTCTGAGAAACAGAATTAGGACTCCCAGTGTCAGATGGAAGAGAAAATAGCTCTGGGATGGCAAAGGTTTCCCAGCTGAGAGCCCTCAGCCAGACCATGTAGGGCCTCCAGACTTGCAGTCACCAAAGATTAACTAGCTTGGTGACTGTGATGGGCCATATCTACATATTTCATTGTCTTTAATAAAGTGTGATTCAAATTTAAAATACACAATAAAAAATGAATGCAATTCAAGTCAAGCCACCTTTATTTAAATAGCGCTTCTTACAATACAGATTTTATCAAAGCAGCTTCACAGTGATAACATGAAAATAATACAAAAAGTTTGTTTCAAAAGAAAATTGGTCAATGTCCACCTTAAGTAAGGCAGATCAATAATATTGTTGAATATTAAATGTCCCCAACTAAGCAAACCAAAACCCAAGGCAACAGTGGCAAGGAACCAAAACTCCATCAGGTGACAGAGTGGAGAAAAAAAACATAACTTATTAACAATTAATCAAGTTCTGTGAGATTTTTTTAATGTTTTTTTTTTTTAAAGAGGTCTCCTATGCTCACAAAGGCTGCATATATTTGATCAAAAATACAGTAAAACGGTAATATTGTGAAATATTATTACAATTTAAAATAACTGTTTTCTATGTTAATATATTTTAAAATGTCTTTTATTCCTGTGATGGCAAAGTTGAATTTTCAGTATCATTACTCCAGTCTTCAGTGTCGCGTGATTTTTCAGAAATCATTTTAATATGATGATTTGATTTGGTGTTCAAGAAACATTTCTTCTTATCAGTTTTGAAAACGGTTGTGCCGCTTAATATTTCTTTGTAACCGGGGTACATTTTGATTAATAGAAAGATCTAAAGAACAGCATTTACTTAAAATAGAAATCTTTTTGTAAAATCATAAATGATGAATTGAATGCATCCTTGCTGAATAATAATTTTCATTCAAAAATCTTTCTGACCCCAAACTTTTCAATGTTTAATGATAAGAAACATTAGAATAAAGTACAGTAATTAAAACAATTCAGTATTATATATTTTTTTGTTTTGCTTAGTTGTTTGATTAAACAGTATTTCTGATTTTTAATCGCCAAACCCGAATTCAAACAATCATCCTAAGTATTTGCCATTTCCATTTTGATTTTGCATAATCCCAGCTTTCCTGTCTGTCTTCGCTTTGCACTTTGCATAAAAAATCTATAAACTTTAACTCACATGTTGGGCCACACATGGACAGGATATTCCCTGCAGGATACACTCCTGAGACAGAAATGGAAAGACAGGTTCAAGAAGGACTAAAGAGAGTGCTGCTGAAGCTCCAGCTCTAGATTTATGTGTGGCTTGTTTTAAGAGGCTCAACGATGATCTCACTGATGTTAACTGATGACCGGTTTACTTCACTCACTCCACATGTTATGACTTAACATTTGGGGCTTGCATACAAATCCAAAAACAGTGTTTCTCAATCATTTAATGCTGAATAAATCACATGGACATTTCACAACACCTTTTGTGAGATGTTTTTTTTTTTTTTTTTTTACAAATGAAGTAAAATGAATAAAACTGGAATAGTAATTAGACTTAGGCAGACTTTATTGTCATTCAACAGTACATTCACGATATACAAGGCAATGAATAAAAACAGAAGACGAGTAAAAGAGAAACAGTATAAATATAAATTTGTACAATATATAAAATATGTGCAATTTTAAATTGAACAAATATGAGACGCTTATAAGTGCTGTATCTGTAGCAGCAGGATGTGTTGCAGCGAAAAACAGAGAAATGGACAGTATAAAATACAATTATTGGGAGTTTAGCAGTCTTATGACATGGGGGATAAAGCTGCTGTGAAATCTTTGAAATTCCATTTCAAATAAATAATTGGCATGACTATAATTAAAATAATTGAAACATCCCTCATCAGAAACCTTAGTCAGCTTTACCAATCATCTAATCAGCCCTCCTGTCTCATTGCTAATACACTTTTGCGTCTTACTCTTAGGTGTAAACTGGGCTACTTCAATATGGACCCCCAAAATCCTCAGGGATGTACTCCGTGCTTCTGCTTCCAGCATTCCACTGTGTGTGACAGCGCCGAGGGCTACAGCGTGCACAAAATCACTTCCAACTTCGACAGGGGTGAGCATCCATCTAATAGTCAACACTCTGTTTATACTCAGTTCTTGAATGTGTAAATATAAATTCAACCAAAGGATTTTAACATGGAGAATGAATAAAATATGTCATTGAATAGACGATGAGGGCTGGAAAGGACAGCAGAGAGATGGTTCCGGCGTTCTCGTGCAGTGGTCACCCAGCTCTCGAGAGATCTCGCTCATCTCAGAAGACTACTTACCCATCTACTTTGTGGCTCCAGGTATAAAAACAGATGCGATTTCCTCTGTGTGTTAAAGTGGCTGAACATTATATGACAGCAAGTCTAATCACCTGGGATGGTTTCTTCTTTGTTTCCGTAGAGAAATTTCTTGGTAATCAGCTGCTGAGCTATGGTCAGAATCTCACGCTGAACTTCAGGATTCAGAGACATGATGCTAGACTGTCAGCGGAGGATGTTGTGCTGGAGGGGGCGGGGCTTCATGTTGCTGTGCCACTTATTGCCCAGGGCAATTCCTACCCAGGAGAGGAGACACAAACTTTTGTGTTCAGGTAATGTATTTAATTTGATTTTTATTTAAACTTGGGCCGTTATTTAATTGTGGTGAATCAAAATTTGTTTCAACACATTCAAATACTCTATAATGGCTCTAGTTGCTATTCTGTATTCTCAGTTAAATTAAATAACATTATTATTTTTACCAAGGCTGTATGCGTTTGATAAGATTAACTGTAATATTAAATAATACATATTATTACAGTTTATATAAAATAACGGTTTTAAATAAATAGAAATATAACTTATGTTATTAAAATTACTGTTTTATATTAGTACATTTATATTTTCAAAAATATCAAATGCATCGACATACATTGAAGTTATTACATACTTTGTTACGTTTTAAACATAGTTCTGCTGTAAAGATGAAATATTCCGATTTTTCTGAAAATATTCTGAAATATTCAGAACTCAGTCTTTTGCAAATGAATTGATTTATGCACTTATATAACTTATAACATCTTCTTTGTCATTCAGACTCCATGACACCGCTGACTACCCTTGGAGACCTACAATGAAACATGCTGACTTCCAGAAACTTCTGCACAATCTGACTTCTGTTATGATTCGTGGAACCTACAGTGCCAAAAGTACGTCTACTAATTCACTAGTCGCTCTATGAAGACAAAATATGAGTTTTGTTGCCAAGACTCTTAAGGTCATTTTAACTGGTACTTGAACTAACTTAATAATATTTCTGCTGTAGGTGCTGGTTATTTAGACAACGTTTCCCTTGTGACCGCCCGCCGTGGCGCTGGAACTCCAGCTCGTTGGGTTGAGAAGTGTACGTGTCCTCAGGGTTACTTGGGGCAGCATTGTGAGAAGTGTGATCTGGGATATAGGAGGAGCCAACCTAAGCTGGGCCATTTTAGCCCTTGCGAGCCATGCAACTGCAACAGACACAGTGACACCTGTGACCCTGTGACAGGTTTGTCATCACAACTGACATATTTGGATTGCCTTGTCTTAGTGTTGATATATCATTTACTTATCTGCTCTCAAGAGACTCAAGCCTACAGCCTGGATATTGGTTTCACTATTTATTAACTAGATGAGGGCATTACAGAAGAAGATCATGTGCTATGGATGCATGCAACATAAAAGCCATTGAAATATGTGAATTGAATTATATAGTGTCACTACTTGAACTGTTATTTTACTGAAGATACTCTTAAGATTAAGTACTTAGAGGCCAAATACAGAATATAGATTTGGAGACTTTTCTAGGCATTCCAGTGCTTACCCAAAATTGGGCTGTGCAAAGATTAATTGCTATTAATCGCATCCAAAATAAAAGTTTGTGTTTACATAATATGTGTGTGTGTGCTGTGTATAATATTTAAGAATTATTTGCACGTAAATACTGTGTATATATATAAATACATAACCTATATTATAAATAAATATAATATTTTATATATGAATAACACATTTTCTTAAATATATACATACATGCATGTGTGTGTGTGTTTATATCTCATATATATAAAATAATTATACACAGCACAACTTTTATTTTGGATGCGATTAATCGCAATTCATTTTTGCTCAGCCCTAAAATATACTAAACTGCAGGAGTACTGGTGCTACTTTTGGCTTTGTGTTTAATGTTGCCATCTTGTGGTGATGTGTGGTATTACAAAGTGTCTGTTTTGTACTCGCAGGAATGTGTAACTGCCAGCACAACACAGCCGGCATGAGCTGCGAGAGGTGTAAGGATGGATACTATGGTGACGCTACGGTCGGCTCTTCTTCAGACTGTAAACTCTGTCCCTGCCCAGAGGGTGCCACGTGTGCTGTGGTGCCCAAGACCAAAGAGGTGGTCTGTACAAACTGCCCAACTGGAACCACAGGTGCAGACTCATAGCATTCAATGACTTTAGACCTTATACAGTATACATCTTAAATAAATATAGTAAGTATTACATCATATAATCATCCAAACATTAACTGTCTCCAGGTAAACGATGTGAACTATGTGACGACGGCTTCTTTGGGGACCCTCTTGGTGAAAAAGGGCGATCCACACCATGCCAGGCCTGCAATTGCAATAACAACATCGACCCCAACGCTGTGGGCAACTGTAACCGAGAGACGGGCGAATGCCTCAAGTGCATCTACAACACCGCCGGCTCCTTCTGTGACCGTTGCAAAGAGGGTTTCTATGGCGATGCCCGTGCCACAAATGTAGCTGATAAATGCAAATGTGAGTTTTTTTTTTTTTATAACCTTTCTCAGAGCTAGAAAAAACATGTTGTGCCAGTTTATGTTTGAATGTTAATGTATAATAATAATAATATTACTATTATTAATATTGTATAACATGTTTATTTTACCACCTCTGCAGCGTGCTCGTGTTCTCCATACGGTACAGTAGACGGGCAGACGACCTGCTCTCAGGTGACGGGCCAGTGTCAGTGTCTTCCACATGTCATTAACAGAGACTGTGGTGCATGCGAGCCCGGATTCTACAACCTACAGAGCGGCAAAGGCTGTGAAAGGTATATTCAATCTAACTCTCTTTTCGTATATCATTGATACCATACTGCAAACGGATGTTGATGAAGATACCTGCATGTTTTTGAAACCTTTCAAATCTTTGAATTTGTTTCCTCAGATGCAACTGCAACCCTATTGGCTCCACAAATGGCCAGTGTGATATCGGAAGTGGCCAATGTGAGTGTCAGCCTGGGGTCACAGGTCAACAATGCGAGCGCTGCGAGGTCAACTTCTTTGGATTCAGTTCGTCGGGTTGCAAACGTACGGTTTCCTGCTGTTTTGCCTTGTCTACTAAATGCAACATTGCTGTGTAATTTGTCTTACATTTTAGATTTGTTCCAATTTACCATTTGTAACCAAGATTACATGTATGTATGTATATGTATGTGTGTGTGTAGATTTGTAACCAATTTACCATTGGTTTGTTTTTGCAGCTTGTGACTGTGACCCAGAAGGCTCTCAGTCCGCACAGTGCAAAGAAGATGGCCGTTGTCAGTGTCACCCAGGCTTTGTGGGAAGTCGCTGCGACATGTGTGAGGAGAACTACTTCTACAACCGCTCCACTCCAGGCTGCCAGCAATGTCCCAACTGTTACAGCCTGGTCAGAGACAAGGTATGAGGTTGTCTTATGATTCCAGGACTATTTGTTTTATGATCAGGCAACTTCTAATACGTCTGTTTTCTTTCTGTGCAGGTGAACCAGCAGAGACAGAAGCTTCTTGATCTTCAGAATTTGATCGATAATCTGGACAACAGTGAGAATACAGTGAGCGACAAGGCCTTTGAAGACAGACTTAAGGAGGCAGAGAAAACAATAATGGACTTACTGGACGAGGCTCAGGCTAGCAAAGGTATTATCTGTCAATGTGGTCATTTTCAAAAATTTCCATAATTTGTTTAAAAAGGCTGTTTTTTTCATCTAAGCCATTTAATTGTACATCATGTTCATTAACTGCATAAAATAAGAAAGAAAATGTTTAGAAAAGAAATTGAATTTTTTTTTTTAATAAGTAGAGCAGATTTAGTTCAATTAATCTGTTATCTTTCACTATTATTATACAGAAGTTGATAAAGGTCTTTTGGACCGTCTAAACAACATCAACAAAACCCTGAACAACCAGTGGAACAGACTGCAGAACATCAAGAACACGGTGGACAACACGGGAACACAGGCAGATAGAGCACGTAACCGAGTCCGTGATGCAGAGAACCTGATCAACACTGCTAGAGAGGAGCTGGACAAAGCCAAAGAGGCCATCAGTAAAGTGGTGAGATTTCTACTACGTTGCCAAGAGAGCATGTCGTAATATTCCACAAACTAGTTGAGCTAATGATTGTGGAGTCCATTAAAATATTTTTATTTTCATTCTATTTGACTTTTAGGACATTAAAATACCCACAAGCTCTGGAGATCCAAATAATATGACACTTCTGGCAGAGGAAGCCCGTAAACTGTCTGAAAAGTGAGTTACGGTATTTCAGTGTTAATATGACTTTTTCATTCCAACCAATACAGTTTTATATAAACTTTTCTGTGGCTCTTTGCACAGACATAAAGCAGATGCCGATCAGATTGAAAAGATTGCAAAGGATGCAAATGACACTTCCACGAAGGCTTATAATATGTTAAAGAAGGCGCTCGATGGTGAAAACAAGACAAGCAGCGACATTGACGATCTCAACAGGAAGTACGTTCATTACATTAACAAATGATACAATTTTTGAATGATTCTGATTTTAAGAATGTGTTTGAAAATATTTCGAGATTTTAAATGCAGATGGTCATGCTTTACAATGAAGATGCTGTTCTTATGTGCTCAGATATATTGAAGCAAAAGAGCTGGCCAAGAATCTGGAGAAACAAGCTGCTAAAGTACATGCTGAAGCCGAAGAGGCAGGAAACAAAGCTCTGAAGATATATGCTAACCTGACTAGCTTGCCTACAGTCGACACCAAAACTTTAGAGGTGCTGTTTTCAGAAGTGTTTCTAATTCTTGCTGAATGTACACAATCATCTTGAATGCATCTCTAATCAAATTATGTTTTCCCACAGGACGAGGCCAATAAGATTAAGAAGGAGGCATCAGACCTGGACAAACTGATAGACAAGACCGAGAAGGAGTACAACGACCTGAGAGAGGACCTGAGGGGCAAAGAGACAGAGGTCCGCAAACTACTGGACAAAGGAAAGACTGAGCAACAGGTACATGAGATTTGACTTTAATATACTTGTTTTGTCTCGGCTGTATGAGATTCGTTTGCAAAATGCAGCCATGGTGGTCTAAAATAAGAAAAGATTAGAATCTTCAGTTGCTTTTTTAGCTCAGCTGCTGTTTCACATGGTTATTATGCAAGAGTGGAGCTCATGCCATGAGGCCCAGGAGCCACACAAATGATACTGATGAGAGACGAGTGATACCACTGGTCATTGTTCATAGTCTCATTCTAATCTGATTGAGTTAAATGTCATGTTCTTAATGAAAGAGCTGAACCATGAACTCAGACATTGTGCTTATGAAAGTTTAAGTTCACTTTTTGAGATGTTTGATAAAGTTTGGCATTTTATAAATAGCACTTTCATGATTACTTTAATAGAGTGCCGAAGTTATGATGTCACTTTGTAGGAAAACTTGGAAGCTAGCGGCGCATGGGTTCCCTCGATCAAAATGCTATGCATTTTCCCCATTTTGGAAAATCACAAAAAATAAGATATGTGTTCAACAAAGAGTTGTGACCCTTACACGTTTTGTCTATCAAGATAATCTTTACAAGTTAATCCAAAATGTATACATTTTGAAGCTTATATAAAGTTGAAAAAAACACAAGCTGACACAAAAAAGTTTAAAAAACCACATGCGGTTTATAAATGGTGTGTTATGTCATAGATCAAAACATGAAAATATTTTGAGAATTTGTTGGGGTGAGGGAACCGGAAGTACTAAAATGCTAACTCACTTCCACAGAACTTCGGTACTCTATACTGGATGTTAATATTATTGTGTATTTGTTCACCCACAGTATTGCCTTTCATTCTTAGAAGTGAATATGTTTCTGATAAACAGTAAATTTCGTGTCAGTACAGAATTTCTGTACTTGCAGAGTGTTAGCCAGTCAAGTCATTGAAGAGAGTGGTGCAAAAACCCAACATATATTGTGTTGTTCAACTCTCTTTCTTTCCCTGTCTTCAGACGGCTGATCAGTTGTTGGCACGGGCAGATGCAGCAAAAGCTTTGGCTGAGGAGGCAGCAAAAAAAGGCAAATCTACCTTCCAAGAGGCCCAGGACATATTGACCAACCTCAGAGGTGAGGGCTCTTGGGTTATGGTGCAATATTATGTATAGAAATATATTTAGGGAAAAAAAAAAAAAAAAAAAAAAAATAATATAATATATATATATATATATATATGTATGTGTGTGTGTGTGTGTGTGTGTGTGTGTGTGTGTGTTTGTATAGTGTTATATAAATAAATGAAAATATTTATTTATTTATTTTACATATTTTAGAAAAATTGTGTGACAATTCTACACACAAAAATTCTAAATTAATTATTAAAAAAGAAAATAAATAAATAGTTTTTATTATATTTATTTTCATTTTTTTATTATTTATTTATTTATTTATTTTATTTTATTATATATTTATATATATATATATATATATATATATATATGTGTGTGTGTGTGTGTGTGTGTGTTTGTATAGTGTTATATAAATAAATGGAAATATTTATTTATTTATTTTACATATTTTAGAAAAATTGTGTGTGTGACAATTCTACACACAAAAATTCTAAAATAATTATTAAAAAAGAAAATAAATAAATAGTTTTTTATATTTATTTAAATTTTTTTATTATTTATTTATTATATTTTATTATATATAATAAATAAAATGTCTAAATAAATATATACATTTAAAAATAAATATATATTTATTTAGTTATTCATTCATATTTGTGTCTCACTTTTAGATTTCGACAAGAGAGTGAATGACAACAAAACTGCTGCTGAGGATGCCATGAGGCGAATCCCAGAAATCAATGCGACAATCAATGAAGCCAATGAGAAGACCCGAAGAGCAGAGGCGGCTTTAGGCAACGCTGCCGCAGATGCTAAAGAAGCTAAGGCAAAGGCAGATGAAGCGGAGAAAATTGCTAACGATGTACAGAAGGTACATGTTGATTTTCAGATGAAGAATATCACAAGCATAAAGTCCTGGGATGTCTTTATCTTCATCAAATACTTACACCACAGTTGTTCATTGCATGTTCTTACCAAATGTGATGTTTTAAGCCACATGGCTCCTCTTTATCAAAGCGTTGCCTTATATATTCTCAACTATTATTTGATTTGCGTTTTCCTAATTTAGGGTTCGGCAAAGACTAAGACGGATGCAGAAAAAGCTTTTGAGGACACCATGAAACTGGATGGAGAGGTGAACAATATGATGGACCAGCTCACCGCTGCTGAGAAAGAGCTAGAGAAGAAGAAAGCAGAGGCGGATGCTGACATGATGATGGCATCCATGGTGCGTTTTGGACTTTTTGTCGGCCACTTGTTTTAATAAATCATTGCAGAATTTGTATTTTGATTGCCTTTGCTGTTTTTCACAGGCGTCTGACAATGCTAAAGAAGCTGAGGGTAATGCCAGAAAAGCCAAAAATGCTGTCAGGACGGTGCTGAGCACAATCAATGAATTATTAAGCCAGCTCGGTAAGACTATCTAGTTGCTAATCAATAATCCACATTTTTGTGACAATAACGAATCGTTTTCATTTCTGCATTTTAAGCAATTCAACTAGCTTGAAATAATCCTAACTGTGTATATCATTTTGTTCTAGCTAATCAAGAGCTTTTCCATTTATCATGAAATTTTAATGAAAAACTAAAATGAAAATGTTTTATATTCTTGTATTTTATAAATTTATAGTATATATATATATATATATATATATATAACTGAAATAAATAGGTTTAATTTGAAGTACTACAATTACTAAAAGTGAAATAAAATTAAACTAAAACTAAATAACTAAATAGAAAAAACTAAAATTAAAATAAAAACTGAGAATATAAAAATAAATGCTTATTTAAAATATTATATATAGGATTTAAATAATACTAAATGAACACTGGTAAGCTAATAGGCTAAGCTGTTAGCTGTTACCCGAAAACGCAAGTAAAATAAAATGTTTAACTTGGATTTTTAGCTTAATAATTCCACTTGGTATCAGTAATAAATTGAATTTCCCCATTATATTGTGCAAGAAGAATGTAGTTCTGTGAAATGTATTGACGTCTTAGCACACATAATTACAACACTACCTTATCCTCTTCCAGGCAACATCGATAAGGTGGATCTGAGCAAGCTGAATCAGATCGATAACGCCTTAAAAGACGCCAAGGACAAGATGGCAGGAAGTGAGCTGGACAGGAAGCTAAAGGAGCTGAATGACGTCGCCAAGAGCCAGGAGGACATGATCAGCGACTACGACCGCCAGATCCGAGAGATCCGAGCGGACATCGCTAACCTCAACGACATCAAGAACACTCTGCCGGAAGGCTGCTTCAACACTCCGTCTCTAGAGCGGCCTTAACCTCCACGCCACACGCTACACTCCCTGTGTTCTTCAGTGTCCTCATCAGACAACACCCTCAACCAAAACAGGCTATTTCCTTTCAAAATCTCTTATTTGCATTTGATTTATTAGGTTATTTGTTTGTGTTTCTACACGTTTCTTCGAGATCATGTTTTACAAACAGAAGACAAAAGCAGCTTTTTTTTTTTTTTTTTTTTTTTGATACGTGAAGAGAACTCCAAGCAATGGCGCTCACCAGCCGTGTGTGTGTGCGTGTGTGTTTGTGTGTGTGTGCGTGCGTATTTGTGTTTGTGTGCTTTTAGAGACCTTAAACCCACATGACTGCACCACCTCCAGCTCTTCCTCTCAAACCTCTCTGATCTTTACCACAGAATCAGAATTATATGACTCAATCAGAAGCCTAGACGTTTGTCAGGGGAAGTTCGCTACTTAAGCTAGTGTATATCATCATCGGTAACGCTCAAAGCTATAACAGTGAAGGAATCTTAATTTGTTCGTAATGCGCATCTGCTTTCGCCCCTCGTGCTAGATTTGGTACTGATAAAGTGTTTCGTACACGTTAAAACAGTATTTCAGCTCGTGTATATATAAATTGTTCAGTACTAGAAGTCCCTGCATGGCTCTGCTGATTTCTTACATTTCATGGTTGAGACATTTTGTGTTCATTTTTTTTTTTATTTTTGTCAGACGCTGCTGCTTATTACAGGTGTCCTGCGAATCACATTAACATGAGCAAAACTCAACACTATGCAACTTTGTACATTGGCGTAGCAAGACTTTTATCTGAATACACTGGTGCTAATAATTATTTCAAATGTTATATTTTTGTGTGAATGTTTTTTTTTTTTCTCCTTTTTTTATTATAATATAGAGTTGAGGAATTGTTATTTGTGTAAATATGCGTAAATGATTCAGGAACGGCTGATTTTAAACCCAAGATCTAAACAGCCACCTCATCGGTTCCTTCATCAGAAAAAAACAAAAATCAGCCAAAACTTCTGCATAATATATATATATATATAATATGTTCTGTGGTATAATACGCTTGCCTGTATACATGGCTCAGTGTTGCATCATAGCTCTATCATTTATTTTATTTGTGGTTCATTTTCAGCGGATGGTGATGCGTAATGTCTTGACCCTTTAACTTGTACATCCCCCAATCATGTCTGAACATCCACACGTCTCTAACATTTCATATTTATCGGAATGATTTGCTTTACTTGAGATGGTAAGCTTAATCACGTGTTGCTAGTTAACCATCTATTTTAGTGCCTAAACTTTTGGACATAATCCTCTAAATGTGGACGTTGCATTTTAAGTTAGAGGTCTTTCAAATGATGTCCAAATGATGATTTTAGTACATTTCACTGTTTGTTTCTTACTGTTACCGTATCCGTAGTTCCTTCAGTTACAGTCTTACTCTGACAGGTTCGCTGAGTTTAGCAGTTCCTCGGCCGATAATGTCACGTCGAGATTCAACTATGGAAAGTGCCACTATTGAACATCAGACATATTATTATAGACCTCCCCACTGCGGACATAAGTGCAACACGTACACGTTTATGTATAAACAGTATTTTTAATTTATAATGTATCAAGTATTTGTGATCTGTTGTTCTACAGTTAGAGTATGTGTTTGCTGCACAAGTCTTTGTGATCCTTTGGTTCTAGAGAGTGTAATGGTTTTTAAAGACTCCCTTCCCTCTGTTTTAATCAAGGTATTCATAAACACACTCCCAGGACCTCACACACCTCTGCTTGTTACCCAGTTGCCTGTAAATTCGAGCGTAACATTTGAATAATAAACAGTGGTTATTACAGGATTCGTCAGCGTGTGATTTTGCTTCATTTTCATTGTAGAATTCAATTTGCGTGTGTGTGTGGTTCAGGTATTCTTTCGTTGGGAGGACAAAATGTCCCCATAAATAAAACAGCTTCTAAATCATACTAAATTATGCTCTTTGAAAACATTTGCAATATCAAGCAACATAACAAGCTGTTTTGTAGGCTACAGCTAAAAATAACTGGAAAAGAATGACATCAGAAGGCAGACGCTTTAAAATTACAAATGGCCACGCCCGCTTTTACCTGTAAAATAATATGGAGACATTTTTGGTGGTTTTCAAACTTTTGAGGCCAATAACCTCCAAGTATGATAATATTATAAGAGCCTTTATTCTAAAATATAAAAGCAGATTTATGTTCATGTTTATTAAAAATAACATTTACTGTATAAGACAAACACTTAATTTATGCAGCTTTGTTTTTTTATTTCTTAAAAAAGATTTCCAGATGTAGGCCTATTATATTTTCCAAAAAATATTATGCTGCTCATCTGTTCTCGGCATTAATAAAAATTGGAAAGATTTCTTATTATAATTATTTCTGAAGAACTGTGTGACACTGAAGACTGGAGTAATTAGCTAATCAAAATTCAGCTTTGCCATCATAATTAAAATATTTAAAATTAGAAAACGTATTTAAAATTTTAACTGGATATTTGATCAAATAAATGCAGCATTAGTGAACATAAGAGATATAGTTTTATTTTAAAAATCTAACCAACCACAAACATTTGAATGAGTATATATTTAATTAAAATGCTGACTTAAAATAACCCTTAGAAATGAATTTTCTGAAATCATTTTTGTCTCGAATTGTCCATGAGCACCCTCTTGTGTCTTTCTTGTGGGTTTCGGTTTTGGACCCCTGTTAATTTAAAAAAACACTTTACAATTGCATAATTAAATGTTATATTCAAACCATGTTCATATCATTACAGCAAGGCAATAAACAGTATTTATTTCTGTACAGGAAATGACAGAGTCATTACCAAATCTTGTTGGTCAGTATATCAGACAGATTCACTCATCATGAGACACAAAATCAGCACTATTAGCAATATCACTACATTTAGTAAGACTATGTGCTATGATTCAGTGGCCGTCATCATCGGATGCGGTTGCACATCATACTCATCAAACTCCATTTTAAATGTGTTTTTCTCTTCCGTGAGCCTGAAAGTACAAAATGTGAACTAGACACATAATGAAAAGCATTGTGCCAGTTTTGGCCTCAACAGACTGTAACCAACTTAGTATTTCCAAAAGTCATTTACATCTTTGACATAAGAGGCTCTCTTTTAATGTGACTTTTAATGTCATGACTCTAAAAAAAAGAAATAAAGAGTTTTTTTTTTTCTCAAAATCCACCAGACTGATGACTAGATTAGAAAGAGCTATCATGATTCATGTGCACATCTGCAGAGTCAAATCCTTGAATCAGGCAAATCAAATGAGTTCATTATTGTTATGGTCGTTCAACTGAAGTTAAGTTCAACACGAAATAACTTGCTTAACTTAAGAAATAACTTAAGAAATAACTTTTTAAGTAGAAATAGCATGAACAGCTCACTCTTAAATATGAAAGTTCAGGAATTGATGGTTTAATGAAGAAACTTCAACATCCATGGGACCTTTCAATTACACAAGAGGTTCTTTGTAGTTCTTAACGCTAAACTTGTTCTTTTAAGAATTGTTCAATAGTATATATATTTTTTCTTATGCCATAATTTCATGCACTGATACTCATGCATTTTAATGTGTAACATAAATGTCCTAACTCCTAAACTTATATGAAGCACATAATTTGAATATTGCAGTGTTTTGCTTGATGAGAGGCAGGTTATTTCTTGTATGTTGATGATCATTAGTGATCTATGAGAGTGCTGTTTCTTGCTCTTGTCTTGTGTGAGGGTGTGGTGTTGGCAGAGTCCTGCGAGGGGTATAGATGTATTCTGTGCTGTTCTCTGTGGCCGAAGGGAAAGGGTTTGAGCATGTTTTCCTGCAGAGGTTTTAGGTGGGGCTCGATCACTGCGTCTGTTTGAGGAACAAGGTGTGGAAGATAAAGATGTGTGGCACTGGATGTTTGGGTGTGTTTTTGTAATGCGTATCTGAGACACACACCTCTGACTCAGCCCAGCGTCTCTCCTTTCCTCATGGAGAGTTCATGACAGGGCGTAGCCGACTGCACACACTAGAAAATACACTGCCTGAGGCTTTGGATTTTTCATGAGTGGAATATATTTGGCTGTGACTCTTCCAGAGCAGTTCAGTTTGTTCCGGTATTTTTATGACAGCTGTGGTTTTGATTTCTACGCAACGGTCAAAGATCCAATGGCTTTTTATTTATTACTCATTTTCAAGATGATTAATTAAAAGATGGCAAACATCATATGATTCAGTGCCACAGTAAGTCAGGATCCATGCACCCAATTCAACATGACAGTGATTCGCTGTCAATTCAGAATATACTAGAGATGCCAAATATCAAACAAGATCACAATTTTGTTCTTTAAATTCACTTGATATATTGAAGTTTTTGATGTGTCCAAACTTGAAATGCAATCTCCTTGTGGATCAATTATTGTAGTTAATGTACCCATAGATCATTGTGTGGTAAAGAAGAAAACTGCAATCTCAGACTGTTTATGGTTGCTACATGTCTATGGCTTTGGTTTGGTGGCTTGGTCTTCAGTTTGGGTGTGGTTCTCTTGCCATCATTCTCTTGCCATGGTGTGAACTTCTAACAATTTAGTCCAATAAAAAAATGTAAAAAAAATAACACATTAAATAAATATAATAATAACAACCATAGATAGACAGACAGACAGGCAGACGATGATAGATAGACAGACAGAGAGACAATGATTGATGGATAGATAGACAGACGATTAGTTTGATAGACAGACAGACAGACAGACAGACGATGATAGATTAGCTTGATGTCTAATATTACCATTGGTGATTGTAGCCCTGAGATTCTATAGTTTGAGATCCAACAGTTATTATGAACACTTTTGAAAATACTTTGTGCATTGAAGCTATTGTGTTTGGACACACAGACAACAGAATCGGCATATGAATCTCAACAATGGTGACAATAAACAAACAAACTAGTGACAAACTTTACTAGTGGCAACTTTACATTTTCCGTCGGTCTTAGTGCACGATGTAACTACAGAACAGTGAAGTTTTAAATAAGAAAAATATCGTAAAAATATTTTGTTTTTTTGAGAAATGCTAATGGTCTTGTCTACTTCAATGATGTATGCTAAGCTATGCTAAAAGTGGTACCGCCAGAGCCGAAGATCGGCTGAATGGATTCAATAACAGTAAAACTCAACAGTTTAACTAGGGAGTTGTAAAATGATTTTTCTATTTCCAAAAAAAAGTCCAGTATCCCTTTAACACTGGGGATTTTGCTGTGTGACTCTGCTTAACTTTTATATCTTATTTTATATGTTTGTAAATCTAACATGCCAATGTTAAATTATTTCCTTTTTTTCTGTCAACAGTCCAAGGAGCACCACCAGTGTCATTATTAGGATTATTATTCACTGGATGAAACCAGGTGTCCAGGTGGTTTGTTGTCCTGCCTCTCTTTTTTTTGTACTTGAAAAAAATAAATAAAAAACAATTCTATAATTAAAAAAATATATTTTCTATAGGCCTATCCAAAACTAAAAAATTCATAAAAGTTATATTTATACATAGACCCATATATTACCTCAAAAACATAGGCTTAGTGGAGATGAATATACTTACTGGAGATGAATATATGGAGATGAATTAATAAGAAAATTATTTCTTATTGACTCTAATGACTTTAATTAGCTACTTCAATTTGTATCTAATGCTGCCTGTTGCATTTTTAGTTAGGCTACTAACAATAGTAGGCCTAGTCCTACTATAGAGCATATTAAGCACAACAGAGCACAGCATCAAGCATAATAGCACACTTAGATCTAAAACAATGGGTTTAATTGTTCGTTTGCGGTGTTCTAAACTTCTGGTATCTAGGCGTTTAATCAAACACGTCTTTATGTGAGGGGATGATACATATCCTTTCAGGCACGTATTCTCTGTGAATCACTCGTGAGTAAATATACAGTTGAGACACGAGCTTGACGTGCCCGCGCTTGTCAAGTTGGAAGTTTTTAAATGCGCGCGCAGGGATCAGCTGGCACAGCCGTCAGGTGTCTGTCTCGCGCTGAGGACCGTCAATATCTTTAATATCGACCTGACCCTATAAAAGAGACAACGTGCCGTTTTGTTTCTTGGATGTGGAAAATGAAGAGCAGTTGGTTCTTTCTGTGCGCAGCTTGCATCTGGTATCCAATTCACGGGACTGTTCAATGTAGGTGAACTCTGTTCATTTTGTTTTTCAACATTATTGAGTTGACAAGTTGTAGCTTCATGAAAGCTTTTATTTGCAGTAGACCTATTTTGATTAAGTTGACCTATTGCTGAAAATCTGATTTGTGGGCATGACTTCTTTATGACAGTAGGCTAATCACCGAATGTAATAAGCAGATTGCATAAATTCCAGTCTAAGAAAGCTTAGGGTGTCCAAAATGGGACAACCAAAGTAAGGATTTGTATTTAACATTTCTTTAAAATAATAATAATTCTGTTCTCTTCATATTTAGCCTAAGTTAAATTATGAAGAGAACAAAATTATTATTATTATTATTATTATTATAACCATGCAAAATTATATTGTATTGGATAGGCAATTGGCATCGAAAACAGCAGCAGTGACAGTAATCAGAAAGTGTCTCATTTAGGCCTACTCCTGATTATAATATAAACAAACAACAAACATAGACATTGCCTACATAGTCTAACAATAACCTATAACCATTACCACAATACTTTTCATAAAGGCGATGCGATTTTCTGGTCATAAATTATTTTAAAAACTGTTCTTTAAAAAATGCAATTAGCCTATATAATTATTCTACATGCAGTCGGTCGGTGTCTATGACTTTTTAATTTTTTTACAGTCTATGCTTATGACCTGATATGCCATAAGATATCGTCTTTCTGAAGGCTGCTTAAAAACATTTTTGTTACAGGACTAGGCTTTATTTAGATGTAAAACAAATTATGCCAACATAATACGACAATATGCTAGAACTTGGCTAAAAGACGATAAAAATGGTTAGGATAAAAAGTCCATTCTCAACACATTACATGAGCATTGTTTTGCGCGCTGATTTATTGTATTTCTTTGTAAACATCGATACGTTTGCACGTGTCCAGCTGTTTAGACAACATCTCGCGCATGCGCTTTGCTTTTCTGTGAGAACGACACTGTAAATATCAACTCACATTGTTATGTCTTTTTCACATTTCCCGGCCGCTCAGAAGCGAAACTCGTCATGTTTGGTTAAATTCAGCAGACTACAGCAAATAGCCTATCATTTTTGCTTTCCCATTTGCGCCAATAGGCCTATAGCGAAAGAAAATCCATGATAAATATATAGAGGGTATTAATCAAAATATAGACAAATATCAAAATGAATTGCAGTCACTCCCTCAGCCTTAGTATTAACACCCTTGCAGCAGTGCCAACTATTTAATTGAATGCCAATGTAATAGGCCTAGGCTAGGACACAAAGTACAGGTTATAAATTAATTTTAAAACAAATGAAAAACTTAAGACTGGAACGCAACATCAGTCTGTACAAAGGGTCCACTGTTTACTTTTAAGGATAACCCTTGTCTTACGGTTCGGTTTAGCTGTTGTTGCTGCCTGCCTGTTGCTCACCTGTGAGGGACCCTGATGTTGCCACATTAGAAGGAATGGAATGTCTGTTCTGAGTGGATGACGTTTTGGTTCATGCTGACTTAATATTAATGTATTATAACTTTGTGATACATTACCTACAAGAGTGAGCTTGTCCTACCCTCTAAGCCAGTCTATTATCTAACATCTATTATCGTCTGTGTGTTCAGCATTATAGGCCTGGCTGAACATAGACTAGGTTGTTTTATTGCAGGTAATCCTACATGATCTAATGTGCTTACACAGCTGAGGGCATTTCTCAGGGTGAAAAGATGTTCACCCTGGATGTCCGGTGTGTCTTTCAGATGCTTGTTGATCCTTAGGCATTTGTGGTTTTGTCATTGTATGCTCTGCAGCTTATGGTTTGTGGGTTTGAGTAATTGTGTATGTAATATCATAGAGAGTGAGTGAATATACCTTAGGGCGGGGTGTTATTTACTGCAATGATGGCGCCGTTTGTTTTTATCAGTATAAGAAGGTCTTTAGATGTTACTTTCCCATGCTCACAGCAATACCACTAAAAAGTTGACTGGCGCCAGTTAACTTCAGCAATGTGATGCTTTATTTTCAAAGATTGCATAAAGTTACTCAGCAGATTCCTTAACCATTGAAAGTTGGGAACATCTTTAAAGGGGCGCAGCGTCAGAAGCAGAGGTCAACGTGTGCATTTATTGATAAATTGTTGTGATTTATGTGTCTGTGTAGTTCTTTATCATAAATGCAGTTTACATAATATGATGCAGGAGCAATTCAAGAGCATCCACTGTAGTTTCCCATCCACTGTAAAACTTGGGTTATTTATTTATTTTAATTTTTCCTTTAATCTATATATCATGAGACTTTGGGACTTTTCCTACTTTTGCTATAATTCATACTTTAGTGCAATAAAATAGCTAAAATTTGTTATGATATTCATTTTTATAATAAATCCAAAAACAAAATGCATGAAAAGAACTATTAAAGGGAGTAGAAATGGCAAATGAGCTAATGAGTGGTCCGCTGCTGCATCTGCTGGGTATAGTGGTAATTTGTCATGTCATTTTTCATGTTAACGACAGAAATCCTTCACTAAACATTTTTCATGTTATCTCCCTGAATAAAAATGAAAAAATGTAGATCTTTAAAGTTATAGGGTTAAAAAAGAATAGTGTTTAAAAACTGTGTTTTGAAAAATCATTTTTAAACAGTAAGTACAATCATAAGTACTGTAATATAAAGTTTCTCTATATTTTTAATGAATATTTATGAATATTAGCTGGTTATTTAAAATGATAAGAAATTGATTCATTATTCAGGTAGTGTAGAGTCTATATTGTTAATGGTTATACATGTTATTGGTCTGGTATACAAGTGTATATATATATTTTTTTTATTTATTTTTTATTTTTTTTAAATAATACCCTCATTGTGTGCTAATATTGAAATCCTAGAATCACCCCTGATAGGGGCCCTTCTTTGAACAGGGGAAAGTCATTGGCACCAAGTAACTTATCTTGACATGTTGTCTTCAGCCTCCACTACTTGTTCGTGTCATGGTAATGCTCAGTACTGCAGACAAGATCATCTAGGAGAACTGTACTGTATAAACTGCCAGAGAAACACAGAAGGGCGGCACTGTGAAAACTGTAAAGAAGGATACCACCACCAGAGGGCAGGAGACAACTGTGTGCCTTGCAACTGCAACACTGCAGGTGAGATGAACATTTATGTACTCTCCTGTTGTCATATAGGAAAGAATTTTAGTTTTTGGGATCAACTATCTTTTAGAATGTTTTCAAAAGCAATTGATAGTTTTCTTCGTTTTGTGCAATATTTTAATGCTGCATATAGAAAATTAATTAAAAAAGTTGTTATATAATGCAAATATGCTTATTTATACGTTTTTAATTGTGGCTTAAGTGCTTTACAAGTGTAGTTAAGTTGTTCAAAATGCATATATTCTTTGTTCTGTTCAGGTTCTCTAGGACCGTTCTGCAACAATGAGGGACGGTGTGCGTGTAAACAGGGATTTTATGGAGGCAAGTGTGATCGCTGTGATGATGGCTCTCAAGTGACTCCCAATGGATGTAAGCCTTTGAGGTGAGAATAATGAGCCCTACATCTCTGACTGCTATCTGACTATTAATATGCAGGTTTGTCTGGTTTAATGAACGATCTTCTCCTGCAGGCTAAGCTGTCGGTCACGTAACAATGGCCGTCTTACATATAATCCAGAGGAGTGCCTGCCCTGCTTTTGCAATGGCCATTCAAGTGTGTGCTCTTCAGCTGACGGATATTCCGTTCACAACATCACTTCAACTTTTGAAAATGGTGAGCTTGATGTGTAACCTCTGGTTTTAGTAAATCACATTTGGTTTTGGTTGTCTTTGTTCATTTCATTTGTCTCGTCTCATAGGACCTGAGGGTTGGCGGGCTGCCACTGGTCAAGGTGTGAGCTCCTCACAAGTGCAATTCAGGTGGTCTCCCACTCACAAAGACCTTGAGGTGATCTCTAAAGAGATCCTTCCTGTTTATCTGTTTGCTCCTGGTATGATATGACTTTTTTTTTAAATTAATTATGGGCAATATCAGTAATTATCACTGATGCATTGTCATTTCCTTGACTTTTGTGCTTCTGTGTTTAATACAGCATCTTACCTGGGGAATAAGGCATTGAGCTACAGTCAGACGCTCACCTTCTCTCTGCGTCTGGACAGAGGCGTCCGTCGTCCTTCCATCTCTGATGTCATGCTAGAAGGAGCAGGTCTTAAGGTGTCTGCTTCACTTGGAGACTTGAGAACTGTGGTGCCCTGTGGAAAGAAAATCGCCTACACGTTCAAGTCAGTAACATCATCAGTAATAACTAGATCTTTATGCTTTCTAAATTAACGTGAGGGTTTTTTTACCCTGCCCTGGTCCCTGCTACGATTTAAAGGAGTAGTTCACTTTAAAAAAAAACTTTTGCTGATAACCCCCCCCCTCCATGTCATTCAAGATGTCCACGTCTTTCTTTCTTCAGTCGAAAACAAATTAAGGTTTTTGATTAAAACATTCCAGGATTTTCTCCATTTAATGGACTTCATTGGGAACCAAACGGTTCAAGGTCCAAATGAGAGTTTCAGTGCAGCTTCTACGGGCTTTAAATGACACCAGACGATGAATAAGGGTCTAATCTAGGACCCTTCGAGTCATGATTCGAAAAAAAGATTTGTTCATTTTGATGTTTTGAATTTGAACAGGAGAGTCACGCACACTCATCACAGAACAGAGCAAGGCGAGCATTTGTGCTTATAAAACCTAAACTTTTTTATTTATTTTTTAAATGACCGTTCGTTTCGCTATATAAGTTGCTTATTCATTGTCTGGTGCCGTTTAAAGCCCTTTGAAGCTGCACTGAAACTCTCATTTGGACCTTCAACCGTTTGGTTCCCATTGAAGTCCATTAAATGGAGAAAATCCTGGAATGTTTTCAGCAAAAACCTTTATTTTTTTTTCGACTGAAGAAAGAAAGACACGGACATCTTGGATGACATGGGGGTTACTAAATTATCAGCAAAAGTTGTTTTTAAAGTGAACTAGTCCTTTAAGACTTTTTAAGGGATTACATTATAAATGGGTACCATATCAGTTATTGGCCAATTTTAGACAGGGTTTGATCGTTTTGTTCAATATTTTATATGCACTACCATTCAAAAGATTGTAGAATTGGTACAAAATGATCCATTTGTTTTAAAGGTATATAGGCTGATAATTATTATTACCATATTTCACAGACTGGACGAACAACCTGGAAGCAAATGGAAACCGCAACTCTCATCCACAGAATTTCAAACACTTCTGAGCAATCTTACAGCCATTAAAATCAGAGGAACATTTGGTGAAAATGGTGAGTGTTTAATCTCTCCAATCCAATTATGTACATCCATAAACTGTTTTAAACATGCACACAGTAATGTAATGCAGAATAAAAGAATTGCGTGTCTGGTTTCACAACAGGACGTGGTTATCTGGATGATGTCTCTCTGGTGTCAGCTAAACTGGGACCCGGCACCCCTGCAGACTGGGTTGAAAAGTGCAGATGCCCTGTTGGTTATGATGGACTGTTTTGTGAGCGCTGTGCCACTGGATACAGGAGGCGTTTCCCTGGTCAAGGCCCCCGAAGCCCCTGTGATCCCTGCTCCTGTCAGGGTGGAGCATGTGATCCAGAAACAGGTTTGTTATTTCAATGGTTAATGCGTGTTTGTGCTTTAGTTCTGAAAAAGAAGAAGCCTGAGCTGAGAAAAGTGGATTTGTTATGTTTACAGGAGGCTGTTACTCGGCTGATGAGATACCGAATCTGCAGATGTGCCCTAAAGGTTATTATGTCAACCGTCAACAGTCCAACTCCTGCCAGAAATGTCCTTGTCCCGAGGGCGAGGCTTGCTATGTTATTCCAGTAACCCAGGATGTGATGTGTGCCCGCTGTCCCCGGGGGACTACAGGTGAGGAACACGGAGCAGGGAAACATCACGTAGATGGTTCTTAAAGGGAATGTACACCAAAAATCAAAAAAAAATTTTCCTTCTGGCTTCTCTTTTCAATATAATGAAAGTATGTCAAAAAGCACTATAAAAGTAGCGTAAAAGTAATCTAGTAGTCATGCATTAGATTTCTGATTTAACTTCAAATTTAACTATAAAAACAGTTTGAATCTCATTATTTCTGTTTGTCATGTTTTTAAAGGATCTCGTTGCGAAATATGTGATGACGGTTTTTATGGAGACCCCCTGGGAGAGTATGGCCCTCCCAAACAGTGCCAGCCCTGCCAGTGTAATGGCCATGTGGACCAGAACGCCATCGGCAACTGTGACCGCCGAACAGGGGAGTGTCGGAAGTGCCTGAACCACAGCAACGGCCCCAAGTGTGAGAACTGTGAAGATGGATACCACCACATTTACCCCACAGACCCATGTCAGGGTAATGAAAAATACCTTGACTCTCACAAGCATACATATAATACTGCATACAATACCAGTAAAGTGAAATACAAAAAGTCACCTCAGTTTTTGCTTTCTTTTATCACTGTAGCCTGCAACTGCAATCGCCTGGGGTCTGTGTCGAACTCATGTAGCGATAAAGGCCAGTGCGAGTGCAAGGAAGGTTACGATGGACTCAAGTGTGAGAAATCAACATGTCCATCCTGCTTTAACCCAGTCAAGAGCAAGGTAAGACATTGCAGAATGGAAAACAAAATAAAGAAATACAAAATGTTCAATTATTTGATCAAAAATACTGTAAAAACAGGAATATTGTTGAAATTATTACATTAAAAAAATCATAATCTATTTTAAAATGCATTTTATTCTTGTGGTGACAGCTGAATTTTCGGCATCATTACTTCAGTCTTCAGTGTCACATGATCCTTCAGAAATCATTTTTAAATACTGATTTGGTGCTTATTAGTGTTAGTATTAGTGTCAATGTTGAAAACAGTTGTGCTACTTAATATTTTTGTAGAAACTGTAGTAAATTTTTTTCAGGATTCTTTGATGAATAGAAAATTCAAAAGAACAGCATTGTTTTGATATAGAAACCTTTTGTGAAATTATACATTTCTTTGCTGTCAATTTTACAAAAATTTGATGTGTCCATGCTAAAAACTAATGCACACGCGTGTGTGATTTAACCATGAGAAAATAACGATCATTTAATATGTGCTATCATGTCAAAACAAGCACTTTTGACTCTACGTGTGTGAAAGAAAAGATGAGAGAATCCTGCTGGGTTTGATGATTGTTTATTATCTGGAGTGATATAACGGTATGTTGCTCTGCAGCCGATCTTGAACACTGATTGTGTGGGTGGAATTAAATGTGCTGTTTGCCCAGGGACCAGCACACACAGTCAAGACTGATCTCATACACAATCTCAGTGCTATAGTGCATTTACCAAACCTACATAAAAAGAGGAAAAAAGCCCACTCAAGGCTAAAAATGATTAAACAACGTTTAGCGTTGGATCCAGTCCCTGGGCAGCTGCTAATGTAGAGGTATTAAGAACAAATGTTGACAAATTAAATGTTGGTCTTTGTGTTTTAATTCAGATAGAGGTTTATGCACGTCAGCTGCAGGAAATGGAGGATTTATTTAAAGGAATTGGAGGTGATGATGCTCCAGTCAACGATGCTCTGATGGAACAGGCTATTAGGGCTGCGGAAGTCATGGTGCAAACCCTGAAATTAAGAGCAAATGAACTCACAAGTACAAAAATCCTTCATTTGTTTTGTTTAACCCATTTTTTTCTAGTTAGTTCATTGTTTTAGTTAAACATTTTTTTTTAAATTCCAAATAGGTACAGAGAAACAGCTTCAGGATAAACTGGCGAGCATTAGCCGATCCCAGCTGAGAGAGGACAGAAACATGGAGGCTTTGTTGACAACATTGGATGGGGTCAGAAACAAGGATCAACGGTACAGAATGGAAGTTTCCGAAATCAGTGACCTCATCAGTGTCATCAGGCTAAAACTGCAACAGGCCAAACGGGACATCCAGCAGGCTGTAAGTATTTAATTATTATATTTTTTTAATGGGTGGTATTATATTAATATTGGTGTTTTGTTTAGCATTTGGTTTTCAGCCGGTTGTTGAAAGGTGATCTATAGCTTATCTATCGCATAGAGGGTTAGTAAAAGTATAATTATGGTTGTTTTGAAAATTCTCAGTATTTTTGTAATGTCTATTTCAGGAGTTTCCCTCAGGTGATGGGGTGCCAGGTGCTGACTCCTTGTTTGATTTGGTTCAGAGAGCTGCTGATCTTGCTGAGCAGTATGTCATGTGTTTTTCTCAAATGCCACAAACAGTGAAACAGCACAACATGTTGTGCCCCATAACTACTTGTGCACTAATAAGACACTTGCTTAGCCAACAAAGGCTTTAATAGGTTTCACAGTTACACATTAAAATGTGGTTATGAACTGTTTTATCCCCAGACTTTGTGAAGACATTATTATTAAACAAAAGTCATAAATCAAACAGTGAAATATATTAAAATCCAGAGTTTGACCTTCCGCATTAACCACATCAACAACAAAAGATTAAAAGTTGATAGCTGATAACTATCCATTATTTAGTTGCATTACTGCATTTTGCATGTTTTTTTTTTTTTTTTTTTACTTAAAAATGCATTTAACCATTGAATAGACTTCAACTTCACTTGCTTATCTGCTGTACATATGTTGTGCATCAGTTGTGTGTAAAACTGACTGCTGTTTTTCTTTCTAGACATCAAGGTGAGGCAGTGACGGTGGAGACCATTGCAGCAAATTCTCTAACCCAATCTGAGAAAGCACTAGATCTCATCCGAGGTGTCATCAACCGAGAAAATAAGGTCAAAGACCAGGTCAAGGACCTCAAGAGACTGTAAGTTGCTTATAGCTCAACTTTTGAATGAGAAATTTTGTTAAACAAGATCATTCTCTCCTCAGTACATGACTGTTATTATGCATTATGCAGAAGTAAAGACTGAGCTTACTTTCTAATGATTTTGATCTCAGGTATGAAGCAGATGTTAACAAAGTGCTTGACATGGAGAATAAGGCCACTAAACTAACTGATACAGCCGGAAAGGAGAGCGAAGTAGCTCAGAACACTCTGAAACAGTTATCTGACCTGGAGAAGAAACTTCCAAAGCCTCTGACGGTAGTGAATATGGATTCAATATTTATGTAGTTTGAGTAAAAATAATACAGGAGCCTCAAGTCTTTGTTCACAACCCGATTATTTTCCAGAAACTATTTGCTGGTGTTACTGGAGTCTAAAAAAATACACTATACACATTTAAAAATAAAGTTATTCAAATGAAAGCATCAGATACGACATTTCCCTTAGCTCACATTCAACATTAAAAAAAACAAAACAGAATGAACTACTACAGTAAAAGAAAGTTAAATATACTTTATATATACAGTATATATATATATATATATATATATATTATACTACTCTGTGATATATATTATCACAGAGTAGGACATTTTAACCAGGTTCCTCTGAAAAATGTATATTTATGTGTGAGTGTGTTATTGTATGACTCTATTGCGTTTCTGGAAGTTGTTAGTCAAAACCTTTCTGTTTCTGCAGAAGGACATTGCTGGCGTGGTTTCCATGTTTGACAATCTGAAGGGTATGGTGGAGGGGAATCTATCACAATACCAGGACTTTCAGCAGTATATGCTCAGTGAACAGAAAGAGACAGCTGATCTGTTCAATAAGGCCAAGACTTTCCAACAGGTAAACAAGATCATCTGTTAAACCTTCCCGAGACTGAAGATGCTCAGAAACCACTGAAAAAAGATGTAAAAGATGTGTAAGAATGTGATGACTGAAAATGAGCTTGATTTTATTTAACCAAGAATTGGCAACAAGATCTCTGTGGAAACATTGACCTTTAGTGCATTTCCTGGGTCAACAGAAAACTTTACTTTTTTTTTTTATTTGATTTAAGGTTCAAGACAAACTTCTTGCCAGGGCAAACGCAGCTGAAGCAGTCAAAAATAAATCTCTGGAAATCTTTGCCAACAACAAAGATAGTCTGGAAAAGACACTAGCGACGCTCAAAGGTACGGATGAAAAATGGATTTTAAGCTATTAAATATCATATACACATTACCGTTCGGAAGTTTTCTGGTCGGCAAGATTTTTAATGTTTTTGAATGTTTAAGGTTGCATTTGTTTGATTTAAAATACAGCAAAAACAAGGAATATGGTGAAATATGATTACAATTTAAAATATCTGTTACTGTGATGGTAAACTGTGATATCATTATCACATAATTGTGACATAATCCTTCTTATATGCTGATTTGATGCTCAGGAAACATTTCTTTTTATTATCAATGTTAAAAACAGTTGTGTTGCTTAATATTTTTGTGCAAACAATAATTCTTTTAGGGTTTTTGATAAATAGGAAGTTAAAAAGAACAGCATTTATTTGAAATAGAAATCTTTTGTAACACAACAAATGTCTACTGCCACATTTGATCAATTTAATGCATCCTTGGCTGAATAAAAGTATTAATTTCTTCAAAAAAGTAAAATTCATACCTCCCCGAACTTTTGAGCAGTAGTTTATATCTTCTGCCATCATTTAAACTATCCAACACAATTGACCTAAATGTCTCTTTGGTCTTTCCTCAGATTTTGATGACCAGATTGGTGGTAATAAGGATCTTGCCGATGCTGCCATTGCAAAACTGCCTGCTATCAATTACACCATCCAGAAGGCCATAGCTGACAACACCAAGACTCAGGACATTTTGGATGCAATGGCTCCTCACTACAGAGATGCTCAGGATACTATTGACTCTCTTACAAGCACTGCAACCAAACTGGAGGTATGGCGACCTGTTATCTTGAGTGTTCACCTAATTCATTTCTAAAAACAATATTTGTGCCAATGCCATTATTATGTCAATTTCACAGAGAGACCAGTTCAGTTACTCACAATGTCTGTCACAAGATGACCCGAGATGAGTTGGCCTATTTGAATTGTATACAGAAAGTTTTGAATGTGCTCACAGGGTGCTTGTATGTGTCTCCACAGGGAATGTCCGATTCTCTTCCGCCTTCTTCCGATATTTTGGAAGCTGCAACCAAACTGAAAGAGGATGTGGATGGACTGAATATACAAGCAGCTTTAACTAGGGACAGATTGAATGAAGAGAAAAACAAGGCAAAAGAACAGATTAATCAAGCGAAGAATGTAAGAATGTCTGCTTACATAAAACTATTTGAAATCATATTTACTTTGGAGCTGCATTCTAAACTTTCTATCCTTTGTTTGTCAAATCAGGCTATCATGGAGTCTACTGGAGCTCTTGGAAATGCAAAGAATGCTAGGGATGCTGTTAGTGATACTTTGAAGACAATCACTGATATTATGGGCTCACTGGGTGAGTTATAACAGTAATTCCCATATAAAAGTATGGGAAACTTAGAATTGTCTATTAAAGATAATTATCAAACTGGATGAAGACATGTTGGAGGCAGAATATATTTTCGTAACTTGATCTTAATTCCAAAGTTCAACGATGAGGAGGAATTTACTATAACTACTGTATGATATTGCTTTCCAGGAACTCCTGGGACAGTCGACGACAAGCGAGTGGCCGACCTAGAGACCGCCATTGCTAAAAGCCGCAACCGTGTGGAGACGGAGCTGAGGCCCAGACTCAGGGAGCTGGAGGAGAAGGAAGCCCAGCAGAGAGCCAGCATTTCAGGCATGATCAATGACATTGACACCATCCTGGCTGACATTGCCAACTTAGAGGAGATCCGTAAAAGCATTCCAAATGGCTGTTACAACATACCACCTATTGAAAGGCCGTAAAGGCTTTGGGTTACTGCCGGGCCAAATCCCAATGTTAGCTAGTTTAATATATGAACTTACTGATGATACTTTTCAACTAAAGAGTGTTTGTTGCATATAACATGATTTTTTTTTTTTTTTAGTATTTATACGTGTTTTTTAGACTTTTTTTAAGTATTTATTTTTTCATTTTTTTTTTACTGTGAAGTTTGAAATGATGCCAAAGATATTTCCATTTTGGGTAATTAATAGATACATATATACCATATCTGAAACTAATTGTTCTTGAAAAGAAGTAACACCCAGTTGCTTCTCCATCTGTTTCTGGATATAGTGAAAAATACATTCAAATGTGAAAGAAATGCACAACATAACAAATTTCATTCGTTTGATTTCTGTTTTGTTTTATTAAATTCAGTATTCATCAAGGACACGAGTTATTGTCATGGCAGCATACTTTTTCAGTGGTTGAATGCTTATCGAATAGCCACTATAAAATAAAAAATATATTAATATATGACATTACGCTGACACACGTATACATGCTTTTCACCATAGACCACTAATTTAAAAAAAAAAAGAATAATATTGAAGATCTAAAATTAAGTTCTGCAGTTTTAGCATCTTAAAAACAGAACCCTGAATCTCTATAATCAATTCAAAAGCATGAGGGCAATTAAAATACAAGAAGAAACAAACAATATCATCAACAATATCTACTCTTGTTGATCACGAGTTTTAATGAAGACATGATGAATGCAAGGAAGCAGTGAGGATTGTAGAGGTACAGAAGAATGCAGCATGCCAAAAACATGGAAAAATATATTATTTGTGAATTATTTCCTACAATCTTCTACATTGAGAATACATTCTTATTGAGTCTTCTATTGATTCCTAATACACCAGTTACTATGGTGACTGCTCAGCAAAAAATGGAAATAAAATCATGAGATTATACTGATACAAACAGTGAGGTATCAATGTGTGTTTAACAATTGTTTTGTATATTAGAGATAAGTGTAATCGGTTCAAAAAATTAAATGGGGGGGTTATATTTCTCCTTCAATGTCTGTGATAGTGTACATATCTAACACAGCATATTAGATACAGTAAACTTGGGTATGAGTTGGTTACGCAAGGAATATTTGATCATTTTACGATCTCAGTACTGTAATACGTTTTCATATTTTTGAAGATTAACATTCTGGCTTCCAATTACATTAATGATAGTCTCGGTTAAAGTGATCAAAATTAAACATCATATTTCACCTATTTGTTTGAACCGAAATCATATATCGTATAAAAAACAGTAATCACAGTTATATATTGAAGTCTTCATATCATAAAGCCAGAGCCTTGTGTAAACTTGCAAAGCCTATCAAAATGAACTATGCAATATACACATAATTCGCTGAATCTGTTATTCTTCTCATCAAATACACTTTGATTCATTTATAAAGGTGTTAGATGTGCAGTTGATTGACATTTCATGTTAGCTCAAATCATTTAAAAGATGTTTCCAACAATCAAATTGAGGAGTTTTTAAAAGCATAGAATTACTTTATGCCTATGTCTAACAGTAACAAAAAGCTCTCAAATAGTGTCAGTGTGGTCTCTTCACAAATCAAGCAAAAAGTGAACGGATTCTTGACTGAAATGAATGGCTTGATGCAGAGGCTGACTAATGTCGAGCATTTAGAGCTGTGTGAGAAGTAAATGTGCACAAAACCAAAGTAAATGAAAATGCATTCTTTAATGTGCAACCAAATACTCCACGTATACATGAATGCACATTGAAGACAAGACATTGAGGCATAATACAGCATATGAGACAGACGTTTTCTGTACATACAGTTGATTGATGAGTAGAAAATGTATTTAGCGATGAGATGAGTCACAGTTAACACTTGTAACCACTGACTATGGTCTACGTGGTCATTGAAACACTCATGCGCTGAAAGAAAACCCTTAGGCATGCAATTACAAGAACAGAGAGTATCAAATCAACAGCAAAGGCCGACATTATAGCAGGCAATGGTTCATTTCATTAAAGGGATACTCCACCTTTTTTTCATATTAAACTGTTATTCCCTTAACCAAGACGAGTTGATACATACCTCTGTCGTCTCAGTGCGTGCGCTCAATCTTGACACTTTGATAACACTTATCTAGCCCAGTTCATTCATTAGGATTCATTCATTAGAAAAGTGCAACGTTTTACTTTGTGTCACCGTCCTAGGTCGAGTTACACTACTCGTGTAAGTGTATTTTAATAAGGAAAACGTGGAGGTGTTTGGTCGCTTCTCTGATTGGCCCATATTGAATTTGAATTTGAATTTCTCTTTATTGAACATGTTAAAAAAACAAACAAACACAACAGCAAAAACTGAATAAAAGTAAAAAAATAAATAGTTAATCATCAACATCAAGAAAAAAAAAGATCATCTACAGATGGTCCAAACAACAATCATGTTCAAAGGGGGTAGGAAGAACTATTGAATGAACTGGGCTAGTTAAGTGCTAGAGCGATTGAGCGCACGCACTGAGACGACAGAGGTATATGTATAAACTCGTCTTAGTTAAGGGAATAACATAGTTTAATATGAAAAAATGGTGGAGTATCCCTTTAAATCAAACTCTATTTCTGTCATAGTGGCGGCGAGGCTCTCTCATCTTCCTCCTATTGGGCACCTAAGCCCACCCAGTCCCTTAAAGCTGATTGGTGGAGCAGATCCCTCAGGCACAGTGCTGTACATCCCAATGAGACATGAGTAAGAGGGGAGGACAGATTAATGCTCCTCTACATGGTAAAGCAGTGGTAGCACAGGAGGATTATACTCTAGATTACACACAGAGAGACAGACAGGGATGACTGACGGGTTCGGAAGTGGACTTCCCCACACTATCCAGAAGCATTGATGTAGAGCTGACTCTGCAGGATGTAGTCGATGACTGGCTGGCTCAGGTAATCCACCACGTGACCGTCACCGTGCTGAAGAGCTAGTCTGATAAGGAGAAAAGCAGAGGGTTAAGGCCCGTTCACACACATTTTTTTATGACAACGAAAACAGAAAACGGAAAAGGAGTAGCATAAGGACAACAACGTCGTCAAAACGACCCCCATTCATGCGGATATGCGAACACAATAAAAAAATGCTGTATTATGCATTAAATGTATTAGTACTATTAGGTCAGTAGTTAGCAATGTCACTTTGTAAAGAAACAGTACGCGCTTATCGACTGAACACGTAATACGCATGAGCATGGTGTCTCTGTTTTCGCAAATTCAGTGTGAAAAAGGTATAGGTATGACAATAAAGGTATAGTTTTGAAAAAGTTTGCATTTCAGGCCCTCAAAAAACCGCTGTTGTGTAAACGGGTCCGACCCCTAAGAATAACAATAACTATGTCAATGTCCAAACCGACAGATGATTTCGTTCTGAGCACATGCTGCAGGTATGTTGTCTGCTGCTTTAAATGTATTATTTCAAATTTAGACCAATTTAAAACTACTGGTATATCTTTTTTTTCTGATCATTAAGGCTCATTTTCAAAAACGATAACTATAACGCTAAATATTTTAGCGTCCACACCTAGACACCATGCAAGAGCTCTTTAAAGCAGGATGGAATTTGATTGGCTGTCAAAAAAAAAATCGTTCTGAAAATTAGTGATTGCAATGATATTGTTTCTCTGTGCCGTTATCGTTATAGTTGTGGTGAGGACTCTGCTATTCGTTTACGGTACAGAACGGACAGATGAATGACATGGTCCTCAGAGACAGCAAGAACACAAACCTGCTCTTGGTGGAACTGACGACGGACATCGGGTGGTCAACCTCATCCTTTACCACGATTATATTGTCCTGTGAGGGGAAAAACAAAGTCGTTTAACCGCCACAAAACAAATATGCTCTAAATCCCCTGCTTTGACAGTGTAGTAAAACTAAGTGTAAAAAATGTTTTCACTAGTCAATGATGATAACTACCAAAGGAAAGTAAATAGCTTGGTGCTAATACCTTATGCTTTCGGAGCACAGATGAATGGTTCATTATCCTTTCTGTATCGACTCCATCCCGAGGAACCACCACTATCCCAAAATCTCCCACAATTACTTCCATCTAGAAGAATATAATAATCTGATATTTAGTTCAGTTTAACAACACATATCTAGATTTGTATTAATAATAGTTTGAATGTTAGTGCCTTGAGAATTCAAAACTGACTAAATTTACTTGCATAATACATGTTCCAGGTCTTATTGTTAAAAATTCATCCATGCAAGTAATGTGAAGTTTTATGATGACTTTAAACTTGCATCAACATTTAATGTTTTGCATCTTTTTATTATTATTATTATTATTCAAACATTTGTATAATTTACTGTGTGGAATTTTTTAGAGAATCTTTTTGTAAATTATATACAAGGTGTCCCAATATATATATAATTGCTAAGAACATCCAAAAACAATGCTAGCGGTAAGCACAATTGAGAATTTAATAACAAGTCATGGCACTTTTCCACTGCTGGTATGGCTCGGTACGGCTCAGTATGGTTCGGCTCGGCGCGGCATGGTTCGGCGCTGCGTGGTACGACTCAGCTCGACACGGCACGGCTTGGTTCACTTTAGCTCGGTTGCTTTTCCACTGCCGTTTGTACCGCTTTAAAGTGGGTGGGATTACAGACTGATCGATAACAGCGGTGGCTATTACTGGCTATTTAAATCTAGGGGGTTTGGTCGATGTCTATTGGTCGCAAATACAATGACGCTGGTACTGACGATTCTGTCTGACCAATCAGTGATCTGCAGTGTTTCACGTCACATTTAGTACCAGTACGGTACGCTTGGAACCTCAACAGAGCAGGTACCATTTAAAGCGAACCGTACCGTACCATGCAGTGGAAAAGCGCCAAAGCGTGCCTTACTGAACTGAACCGTTCCGTACCATGCAGTGGAAAAACGCCAATACAAAATCAGAAAACCTGAGATAAAGCTTTATCTCGCGTTTGTGATATTGCTTCATTTTAGGTGAACGTACAACATAATATATTTTATATATTTTTATAGAAAAAAAGAATCATATCTTACATCACTTTCGTTCCACAAGCCAGGGATACAGAAAGATTCCAGAAGATCACTGCCACAAAGGAGCAGGATACGCAACTCTGAACAAACCACAATCACAGTTACACATCACACCATAAAAACACACAAGACACAGTAATGAGATGTTTTTTCTTCGCTGTAGGGGTAAACACAACAACTTTGATAAGATAAAAAAAAGAAACAAGTCACATTTTCCCCATGAGGAGGACGAATGAGGCAATACACAGCACACAGATGCCTTCAGTATAGACAAACACCATCACTTTTAATGACTTATATTATAGAAAGATGTCTACTGTTTTGTTTATTTCTCTGACAACTGTTTTTCTTATTTGATGTTATTTATATTTTCCTGAGGAGAAATACACAGTGATTTTTTTTCCCCCTCTCCCTGGGCAAACTCTGTACTTTCTGACGATGACTCAAAGTGACAAGCAAGGACTGATTTGAAAACCAAAACCATGGCAGGGAAAATCACATTGTCTCACCAATTTCCTCGTAGCGCATTGCTGTACCAAGGTTGGCATTTTCATCTGTTCAGAAAAACAGAAAGGCTTGTGAGGACACAGGATGATTGATTCATTGAAAGTCATGTAAAATTGTTACACATCCTGTGCGAGGAGTATGAATAATTCAAAATTATTATACTGAATTATGTGATTTCTGCATAAACTTAACCAAAGGCATTTTATATTTTATATTTACACAAATCAGAAGAGGTTGAAAAGGTGACATTAAACTTAAATAAGTAGTTTGGGGCAACACAAAAATGACTTCTAGACTTTTTGTAATGTCTATTCAGTCTATTCTTTGTCATAATAATGTAATGTCTTAAATCATCTTCAAATTTTAGCATACAGTACGTTCAAATATAAATATTAAAATATTAATCTGCATGTCATGAAATAAATTCAGTTCAAATTTTTTTATTTCAGCCAGAGTAAAAATTAAACTGTTCAGTGAAAGGTACAGGTACATTTAATATATTTAATAGTTTTATATTCATATTTGTATAATATATCTTTATTTATATTGGTATTATATTACAATTTATATGATGTATTAAATTAATCAATTAATGTATTAAATTAATGTATTAAGTAGATGAGTAAAACCAACTCACCAACAAAGGTAAAACGATCCATGTGTGGGCGAACACAACATATTTTGCCCAGGTTTTCGCTCATCTTTCCCCAAAGCTTAACTGGAGAAAAAGAGGCATCAGTCGATCATGAAATCATGTACCTGTTCTCCAGAACACCGAACTAAGGTCACCTCACTTACTAGCCACAGACTTGTTCGCTGTGTTTTGGTAAATAGGAGATGTCCCATTCTGGGGCTGGCCAATCACTGGGGTTGTGGATGGTGTGTTCACATTGGACAGAATGCATCCTGTGACTCTCTACAAAGGAAGAGCTTAGTTAATCTGACTTCAAGATGAAGTACACGTAAAAATCGAACAGCATTCAGGACAAAATTGAGACTAACCTTCATTAGGTCTCTGTGATGCTCCAAAACACTGCAGGTGGTCTGCCAAGTGTCCTGGTAGCTCTCCCAAGGATCCACTCTGCAAAAGACCATTAATCCATCAAACTTTTTATGTCCAATCTATCATCAATATAGCTCAAGGACGCTGTAGTACATGTAAGTGTTGCATAGCATTCTTATGAGGGTGTTGCCGGGCTCCACTTTAACTGATTGACAGTTACCTGATCCAATCAGACGACTGAACAGCCAGCTGACACATGGTGAGACGATGTCTGCTTGAGACAAGGCCCTAGAAAAGCAGAAAAGAAACCAAAACAAGAGAAGAAAACCAGGCCAAAGTCATTTTTAATTCCAGTTGAGTTTTACTGATTAAAACCTTATATGCACAAAAATAAACAGGAATCTACTTAACTAGAGACATGTGGTTTTGTTCACATTCATGAACATAAAATTTGATGTATGCTTAAAGTGCGGTCACATTTACCATTTTCACAGACGAAATGCAGTTTAATAGGAATCTACACAATCTTGAATTTCCTGAAATATTCCTAATAAATTCTTAATAAATATAATTTAAAAAAAAATTCAAAACACCTGCTTGATTTGAAACGGACCTTTCTTCCCTGCGAAATTTAAAGGAATTTTAAAAAAATCTCATCCACTTTTGCAAGGAAAATGTGATTGATGAGTGATTGATGTGTATTGGGAAATGGGAATTTCTCATTCCCTTTAAAAGCCAGTTGTGCTTGCGCTATGGCGGATTTGCTATTTAGATGGCGGAATTTGCAAGCGGAAACACTGAACGCTTCTCCGGAGCGCAAACGGATCTGCTCGTGTGCAAGGTTAATGCGCACAAGTAGACCATCTACTGCATAAGCCTGATTCCACAATATATTTATGCACTCAATAATAATCTTTTACATTATAATCCTTTTATTTTTAATATTTGGCTAGTTTGTGTGCTGCCATGTGTCCCTGTGTGTAATAAGCAGAGTGTACGTGCGTTGTGCACCCGCCTATAGGTACACATTACTAATGCGCATTTAAATAACAAAAAATATTTTGTGCCATTGACTTTTTTGGTTGTTTTTGGTGGTCAATGGCACAGTCTATTTCAGTTGCCTCAAAATAGCAACGCGCAAACAATGCGCCCGAACACACCTTGTTTTCAAACCAGCATGCCAATGGGCACACAAATGCATTTACTATTTAAACAATGTGGCGCAGGACGTGAAAATGATAATTGCGTCAGGCTGAAACTAGCAAAAAACACTTGAGTCGCGCCTGGCGCTGCATTGGATCGGATGTGATATTTGAAATAAAATAATTAATAGCACTCTACTCATGTGATATTGTGTAAATTTGCAATACTAATACTGACTTAAGACTTTAAATTGACCATATTCTCTTACCGGTTTGCCATAGGAATCGTGTACAGGTGAGATGATACCCCCAATCACAATAAATCGTCCAGTCTTGTGTAGGTACTCTCTGGCTTTTTCTGAAAACCAAAAAAAGATTACCTTTTGGCCATCATTTGACTTCTGTAACACACCATGCCATGCTATAAAGGTATACTCTTAAAAATAATGGTTCTTTATGGCATTGATAGTTGGATTTGGAAATTTTATTTTTAAGAGTGTAGCTTGGATGAAAGGCATTATTTTTGAAACATAAGAAAGTGAAACAAGGTACTTTATGTGAGCACAGCCCATGTGTTTTGAAATGAAATGGTAGGATTTAAATGTATGTTAAGTTTCTTTATTGGTTTCAGATATGTAAGCGATTCAGCACTGCTCAGAATAAGACATGAACCCATTCTTATTTTTGTACCTCAATATATGCAAAGGCATGCAGTAGCAGAAGAAGGCTTCGAAATTAGGTCACAGACACACAGAAGCTTTTTGCTTCAGGGAAAACATCAGACCTGTATTGATCAAACTCCTCATGTTGCTTATGCACAGAGAAACTCAGCTGCAGTAAATGAATTAGGAAAGTACAAAGCTCCTAAGGTTGTTTCCCTGTTTATTGGCACACTAAAATGTGGAGTTGGACAACCCAATGGTAGAAATCTCTCTCTCTCTCGCTTTCTGAGTCTCTTCCTATCCCATTTGCACTCTTAGTCAAGTTCATGTCACATTCAGTATGATGGTATAATTGCAACAAATCTAATCTTTAACCCTCATGCTCTTTTGAGATTGACAAAACTTACAAAAGCAGATATGTTTAAGATGTTAGTCAAGATGCAAGACCTAACCAAACCTGTAGGCAAATATTATTGACATTTTATAATGAAATAGGCATTCAAATTCTTCTTAATATTCTGTCATTAGAAAATACAATAAAACACATCAAACTAAACAAGTGAGAACAAAGAAAATCTTAACACGTAAAAAATTAATGCATTTATTCTGGGGTCCCAAAACATTGGTCATGCATAATTTTTTATGGAGGATATCTAAATCAAGCTGAAATTATGTTTACAAATCTTGAAGTCATGAAGTATAAAACCAATGCTTTCTAAGCTTTTAAGGCCCAAGGCCAAGGGTCCCTCAAACAAAACACGAATTAATTAATTAACTTGATTGTTCATTTTGATGATCTTTTCTTTCTTTCTTCTTTTAACTATGCGAGCTCATTGTCTTTTGGTTTTAATTGATTTTGGTCATGAATGTTTATAGAGCAGTGAGTGACCTTTCCTTCAGGCTTGCCTTGTTTTCATGCTGTGAATCTGTTCAACTTTCAAACAGGTTTTTTTTTTTTGTAATATAAGAAAGCTAAAATGTAAAACAATCATCCCAATATTTATTTGAAGACTTATGTCAATTACCTGTCTTTAACATAAAATGTAATGTATGCGATGATAAGTTCACCACACTTTCAACCAATTTGGACTTTGAACTAGAAATTCAATTCGATAGGCTACCTAACTAAAAACTAAACAAAAATCAAGTAGACTTAAAAAATGTGTTAATTGGATGCTAACATAAAAAACTAACATCCAAATTGTCTTAAATCAACTCTATAATTTATTTCAATGAATTAAATTAAAAATTCAATCAAATTCAAATCTAATTCCTTATCATTTCCTTGGTTCTATTTGACGCATGAAGGTATGTCTATAAAGTCTCTTAACAGGACAACATGCGAGTTTTAATGTATCCTATTCATTTCAATTGATGTTAAATTTACAGTAGATTGTTATTTATCTTCCTCAAGCATGTCAAGTATCCTGCGCAGGATAAATGATTAATTAGCCAACACTTGTTGAAATATCATAAATCATAGATTTGTTTGTTAAAGCTGCGGCTGCGCAGCCCCATCATCTGCGCCTCTGAGAGATGATTTGATCATTCTGGGTTGTGAGGCCGTCGCCCATTTCAGCACCTTCGCTTTGGACAGCGATCGACAATAAGAGTTCATTACAGAAACATCAAGCGTGACATTATAATGTATGAAATCATCACGGTCACCATAAACACCTTTATATCCTACTCATACAACATACGCTGCATTAAAAATCAGCTCGCGCATCATCCACTCCCTCTAGGCGAAATACTTACCGAACATATGAATGTGTCCCTTCGTGATGGGGTTGAAACTTCCACATGACAGCAAAATGACATGCGTTTTAGTGTTCTCCGTCATTGTGTTTGTTGCGATCTATCGTTTTTAAACATACGTCGCAGAATTCAAGGCCTTTGTTTAGTTGTAAGACCGCAGCAAGAGGCGAGGTTCATTAGGCTGCGGCAGGCGCGAGCGAGAGGCAGAGCGTCACTCTGATGTGTTCCTGCGCACTTAAAGGAACATGCGCGTAGTGATGCGATTCAATGGCTCTTGGTTCCGAGTCATCTGTAAAAGGTGGTATGGCACCTTAACGGTTCCGCTTCTTTTAATACGCGGTGGAAAAAAATTAAAGAGAGAGAGAGATAAAAAGAAAGAAGAGATACGCATTTGTTATTGAATATACTAAAATAAATAAATATATAATTTCTTGGAAAAATTGTTTTACACAGTCAGTGTTATTTTTTCAAAGATGGTTAGCCGTTTGGACTTGCAACCAGAACATAGGCTATAGCTAGAATTATCTAGAATAACTAATATCTAGAATTTTTTTGAAAATGACAAAATCACACAAATCAGGGTTTTGATTTATTATTGCAGTAAAACGTAGATTTTATACATATATATATATTCTAGATGATGAAAATACACAGAAAATTAAAGTAGTTACTCTGAGAGTGCAACCCATAAAGTAAAGCTTTTGAAAAATATATTTTTGTTGTTGTTACAGAGGCACATAACTGGGTCAGACTCGGGCCTATTCAAAAATGGACACAAATGTGTTTCTGAACAGCCGCACATTCCTTTTATAATATTACAATCAATGATCCTTCCTAAATAATAATCCTAGCGATAATTTATCAATGTCAGTGGAGCAGATTGGTATCCCCTGTGGGTAAATTTGCACCCATTTCCACCCCATGTTTATCAACACTAAAAATACATTTGAAACACATGTGCAGACAAGTAGTCAAGAGAGGCAAGCCAGTGTCCCTCATTAACACTGCTTGCCTCTGTCTCAGACAAAAGCTTCTACAGCTATAAGGTGTACGTCAGATCAGTTTGAACAGAGCCCCACTATCTCTCTCATGGCTTTTCAAACTGATCATAACTGGTAATCAGCAAATATTGTCCAAGATATTTGAAACTCCAGAATAATCAAAAGTCCAGTTACTGAACCAAGCTGCTTGGATTAATCGCTGCTCTCAAATCATTTGTTTCTGCTTGTTTTATTCTCATCTGTAAATCGCTTTGTGAACAATTGTAATGAACCCTAAAGTTGACTGCAAATAGAAACTTACTTCTGCGTGCAGGACTGAATCAAAGCCTTTGCTCTTAGTTCAACTTTAGATGTATCATGTCTAATGGAATAGATTCAAAAATGTTCCTCACAGATTTAGCATTGCATTAGTGGTACGTTTATCAGCACAACGAAAATGTCCTTGATGGCAGGCATTTGAATTCGAAGCATTACAGTCAGAATGTGACTCATCAAGAGCACAACAAGCTCTCTAATGCTCTCAAACATGTTTCAAATGGGGAAAACGAAAACAGCTCAGTTTAACAAATCATCATTATATTTGAGAGGTTATGCAGGATTTTTGTTTGTTTCTCACCATAAGGAAATATAACACAAAAACTCTCAGAATTATTAAAGTCAACATAAAATAAAACTGATCAACAAATTTTTGTGTAATATTGCAGTGTTTATCATAAATGATTTGGTAATCTGTGCACATTGTTCTATTTTAAAAATTCATGTGCCCTGCCCTCATAAGCTTCACCAATCAAAATAACTTCCCCTCCCACAGCGACACCTCTCTTCTACATTTATTGGACAACCTACTCACGAGATTGCAGCAGTTACAATGATCCAACAATCTAATGAGTTTTCAATGGACAAAATTAAGTGCCTCCAAACATTTTGTCTTGTTCGAGAAGCTGTTTCACTCTCATATATCCATCAAAAAAGGAAGAAAATACTATTTCAACTTCTGTTTAATTTAGAAAAAACATGTTTTTCAACCCACTTCCTATGTTTACTGTATATCTATGTATTCAACACGAGGCTGATGAGTTGAATCAGATGTTTCAGTAAATGAGACATCTAAAACATTTTGGTCCCCATGCAGGCCTGCAATTGAGAAACACTGCTTTAAAACATTACACAACATTACCGGGGCTTGTGCAAATTGATTGGCATTTGAACTTTACAGTGATACAATTTTTGTCTGATTTTCACATAGCATGTCTTTGATTTGACACACATTTATTTTTTATAGTGATTAATTAAAACATATTTGGATGTTTTCTTTTTACAAGTTTTACAAGAACAAGTTACAGTCGTCTTAAGAGGAACCGTATCCATTGTTACAGTAGAGAGCAAAATAATTGCCTGGAAAAGACAATAATGATAATAGGCCTACTAGTAAAATAACAATCCACAAATAAATCAACTTAATTAAATCTATAAGTAAATTACTGCATATCTGAAAATGTAATGTCAAACTGAAGACTGTAAACCTTCAGCTCAGACTTGAGAAGTATTTGGCCTTGCTGCAGTCTGTATCAAGACAAACTATAGCCTACTTTTTTGTTCTCTTCTATTAGCTAATATTGTAATGTTTATCTAGTATTTGATTTGCTATGATACATGGTTTTATGGTTACCTTTCTTTGATATGTTCATTGTTCAAACTATAGGGCTATAGAGAGAAATTACTGTAAGTGAGCAAGGGGGCGGGGCCTGTGACGTAGGTCAGCGCGCTCTTGTGTGTACGTCTGGACCGTTTTCTACCAATGACGATGTGATGGACAATATGGCGACGGGAGTAGACTTAGCTTGTGAAGAACCTGTCGTTGTCTAAAAGACTGGCGATCCGACAGGATGAACCTCTGCGCCCAATACTTACGGTGAGTAAAATCCGGAGATTCTCGGACTCGAATTGGCGACCGAGACCGTGTTTCTGTCATTGATACCGAATGTGGTTTATCGGAATGTTGTTCTGCTAGCATTGGCTGTCAGTGCTAGACGCTAGGCTAGTTAGCATGCTAGCTTGTAAACGAGACACGAAACTCAATACAAGCAGAAGTCGATGACGCATTGTCCTGACTATTACCAAAAACATTGATAGATGGGTGGTTAGGCAAATCGCGACATTTACTTGATCTAACGAGAATTCGTGTGTACATAGCACGTAGCATGCCCACCTACAACAGTTGCTATGTTAGCCCGCGTTAGCCACAAACATACCACTGGATGAAGTCAGAAAACAATCCGGTTTCACATGCTCGCTACATTAGTCACGCAAGGGTTCGGGTGAATAATTATCTTTAAAAATGAGCCGGAAAAAACAAACCAAAATAAGGTTTCATTATGTTGCGTATCTGCTTTAACGTTATAGGTTTCCATTTTCCTTTCATTTCAGCATGAATAATAACAAATTACAGTGATGAGCCATTGGTGAAAGTGAACTGATGTGATCAGTACGCTTTTATAAAGCTGTTATGTTGTTTCATGTAAGGTATGTAGATGACAAGTGTGTTTTGACCTTGTTTTATTCGTGTCACTCCATAGTTTTACCTAACGTGCTTTGATTTGTACAGATAACATGCATTCAGATAAAAAAATAACACGTATTTCTTAAGAGATGACTTTAAACATTATCTGTGAGAATGTCTGGTTTGCAAGGCAGTGTTTTTTTTTTTAGTATCCGACGTGCTTCAGTAACCTTGAGTTGGTTCAAAACGGTGTGAAACGAATCGACCGAGGGAATATGTAAATAAATGTGGCGGCTGATAATGACAAATCCAGGCCATTTGATCGTGAAAGGTTGTAAGCTGTGTCAATAGCGTCCTGCCGAGTAGATGTGTTTGTTGTGAGTTTTGTGAAAAAATGTTGGTGATGTGATGACAGTTGGACAGCACGTTCCTGCTTTAAAGTGACTGAGCACAGTAGATGACTTCAGTACTCTGGTTTTGTACTTGCTGACAAGAAAAGAAAGCTGAAAAAAGCTTTATTGTTGTACTTTAATGTAATCTAGGGCTTGCATAACAACATTTAACCTGATCTAGGTGTGTGGTTTCATTCTGCCTGTTTTAACGGGAAGCTCATTTAGTGTGTGGAATCCCACATGTTTTGAAGGGACTTTTCGACAACATTCAGGTACTTTTTTTATTATTTGAAGTTGTGGTAAAATTATTATGGGGTTAGAAATGGTCCTTTATTCCTAATAAATGTGAAATTAATGTAAAGAAATTCACATAAATAAAACTTATTCACAAATAAGTAGAATGAGATACACAAATAAATGCATTAACATTAGGAAAAACAGCACTCTTGGTTGTGTGATATTGCTATCATAAATATAAAAAACAAGAGCTCATTGGCCTACAGGAGCATTTTCGCTCCCATATATATCAAATTACCATCCCTGACTGGAGGGCAGTATGTATATTATGACACATAATTAATTTACAAATGTTAAAATCTGAATGGTTGATAAGAAGAACCGAGTGCAAATGTTGCTATGATGATTAATTTCCCACAAAGAGGGTTCTAGAAACGAACCATTGCACCTCTTCCAGAAGTGGTCAAGTGGTCAAGGGACGAACTGCGAGAATACTTTTCTTATATAAATCTATTATGATGTTTTAAAATGAAAAGTGAGATTTGAGCAGCTTATTTTAAAAATCCAGTCAGACCCTGCATCCTAATAAACTGCAGCGTGAACAACGATGTGCAAGCGTCGGGAAACACTCAATACTTTTAAGATGAGAATTATTCTACACAGGGCACAGCAGATAGGCAACAGCACTCAACAACTCTTGTGATGTTTTTGCAGACGTGCGTGTTTAAGTTTTAAATAGTGTACCTGCCCGCACATAGGCCTACAACATCACGGTACTACTGTATTTAATATTTATTGACTGTAGTGACAATATGTGTTCATGGGAATACTCACCAACACGGGCATTTTTTGGCATAATGTTTTGTGTATTGTGTTTGTTTAAGCACAGTAAGCCTTGAAAAAAGAACTCAATTTGGTATTTGTGAGCTGTTTGAGATGCAGCTACATGGACGACCGTGTCAACTCTCTTTCAGAGAGAAGTGAACGAGAAAGCGGCGCTGGTATTGATACTGTGAGAAATGAGTATTGGAACCATTTTAGATATTTTTGACAACATTAGAAGTTGTCTTAGTATTTTTTTTTTTTTTTTTAGATTATTCAGAGA